CTGCAACAAGAACAACAGGAATGAAGCAACTGCAACCACCGAAACGAAAGAATTGAATGAAGCAACTGTAACACGGAATCGAAGCAAACAACTGCGACACTGAGAAACGAAGCAACTGCAATACTGAAACGAAGGAACTGCAACGAAGCAACTGCAACGTTCGGCTCTTTGGCTGGCTAATCCTTCGCACAGAAGCTGTGCCTGGGTAGATGATCCTCGAAATGAGTTTGGCCACAACACCACAAACGGACCCAAGACCCGGCTTACTCTGGGCTCTGGGCTGCGTACCCCCCAAAGAGGGGGAGGGTGAAATCAGAACGCCTGCCAGCTCCAGCACTTCTATCTTCCAGGCTTTTGGGGGTAGGGCTCCTTTCAAGGTTCAGGGTCCGGAGAATGGGGCTTGGGATTCTGGCAATGAGCTGAGGTCTCAGCACCATAGTGCGTTCAGGGTGTGCTTCCGGCTTCAGGGAATGCACAGTTGGTGGAATCGGGTTTCTAGCGCCTGGACTCTTTCAACTATTTCCGGCGTTTTGAGCACATTGAGGATCGCGTCCTTGCCTCGCTCGGTAAGCGCTTATGTAGGCTTTAGGGAGGGCTTCGGGCTTGCAGGCTGCACCCCTTGGGTTAGCTTGTGATATTCGTGGTTCAGCCTCTCTCGATATTCAAAGCATCCAAGTGAGTTGGTGTGCACTTACGGGGTGGCTGCCGTCACATGACCATCGGCACCCGAAGGATTGTTGAGTCTGTACAAATGTATAAGTTTGCCTTCTATGCTCAAAGACTACTTCAGCAAACAATCATACATAAAAAAGAAAGGCATCGTACAAGTCACGAGTAATCTACACCGCGACAATACCCAAATCCGAACGAATTGAAAATGACCCTGAGATCTTGTAGATGCCGCTTTTCTGTGTTATGCACCAGCACTTGCTGGCTGCTGGCTCTCGGCGTCCTTCTGCAGGGGATGCACTCAGGAGTTCGGTGCTTCGGACATTACCGGGGCCGATAAGATCTGGGTCGTTGGTTGCAGGTTCCGTCATTGGCGGTTCGTTTGGCAGACAAACGATCCCTTTTTGAAGTGTATTGTCTTCCGGCTTTCAAGTTGCCAGCGGAACCTCTCTGAGGTGCTCAAGGTTATGAATCGGCAACCACAGGTCGTAGTTCTCATGTGATCTCTGGATAGTCTGGGCTTAAGCCTGTGAATGTCATAGGGGCTCATGAAGGTTTATGTCTCGGCCTTCTTTACTGGACTTCAAATACCAAGATCTGCTTCACAGTGTCACAAGCGATGGAAAACACATCCGCGACACAAGCGTCAGCTCACCCCTTCAATACCTTGCAGCTGCGTCCTTCTGATCGAAGATTCGTGTCCGCCTCTGCGTGGCCAGCAGTGCCACAAGAAAAACCACCTGAGTGCTGTCTCAGAGTTGAGAGCCTTCAGTTTCATTGTCACAACGCCTTGGAGCTCGACAGCCGTGCTCCCAACAACAAATCAGAAGGTTATTCAGCCCGAGGCGCCATATCAAGAAAAGGCCCTTAAATGTTCCTGGGAAGTTACAATGACCCAAGTCCTAAACTCGAACACACATTATGCCTCTTGCAGTGCTGCTCCCACGCTCAGCTGCTTCGAAGTTGCGAAGGACACAAGGACGCCGCGGTTGGAATGGTGCAGACCAAGGTGAAGGACACCTGGGTTGGACTGCGAGCAATGGCACCAGCGTGTTTGCCATTGGACCACTAGCAGTCCAGGTGTCCGGGACTGGACCGGTTCGCGGGATTGGACCGGCCCTTGTACTCACAGCAGTGGAGTTCCATCGGCTGATAATTTATTCGACTGAAACTTTGACCGCTCCAACGGTGTTTCGAATTCTTGGATACGGTGAGGTGGAAACCCCAAACAAACTGCATCCCTGCCTCCGGCCACAACGACCGGGACAAGCAGAAGGACATGGAAAAGGACTACAAAACTGAGCATGGACACATGACCCTTAGTTGAATACTCTTGATGACCAGAGCTGTTGTTTGCTTGAGCCCAGGGCCCTTCGCCACGCAGACACCCATGAAGCCGCCTGCGATGACGTCCAGGAGGTGATGTGCCCAGAAGTACCTCTGAAGGAGCGACAGCTGCGATGTGCATGCTGCTGCGTCGGAACGAAGCAGGGCAAGAACACATCATTGCTGGATCGGGGGCGTCTGTTGTGCTTCGGGGCTTGGGTTGATATGTAAGCGCAACAACACGCACCAAGTCAATGAGCTGAACACCCCTAAGCTTCACCGAAGCTGCCACCAGAAGTGAACAATATGCTCAAACGGCTTCTCCAACCACAGCATACAAGTAGCAACTGCCAAGTTGACCGCCAGGCTCTTTACAGGCACAGCTTCATGCCCAAGGCTTCTTCGAGTCGCACACCCGGCTGAGGTGGGCGGAGCACCCAATTTTGGGCAGCTTGCTTGGCCGCTCTCGCAGGCGAGTTTTAACAGTACTGAACTGGGACGTGAGAGCTTCTGCGCGATCCGATCCCTCGCCTCGCCACCGGAGTCAGAAGTCAGAAGAGCGTTTTTGGAACATCCGGGTCCAGATCCCAAGCCTGATCGGGGATTCCCTGCTCTAAATCTATGACCCTCTGCTGCTGGAGTTGAATCCGACTTCCCCGGTCACATACGCCCGAAAGCAGCGAAGGCGAAGGCGCCAACTGCAACCGCTGCCGGGGCCCAGGGAGCTGGCCTCACCCCAACAAAGGCCTATGGTCAAGGCAATGCGTTCGGACATCAGTGTAAGCCTCAACTGCTACTATTTCGGGCAACTGAAACCAGAAGGTACATGATGTTTGCCATCGGTACTCCTGCAGATCTTCCAATGCCATTGTCTGTATGCCACAACTCTGGCTGAACTAATCTCGAACCCTTGACAACCATTACATGCCGGCGCAGCTGCGGGGACTGCCAACACCTCCAGAGGATGACCGCATTGGCGGCCATGACCTTGTCTTGTCAACAGCTCAAAGTTTGCAAGCTCTGAGCTTAACTCGTGCAGCTATACTGGAGGGCCGGAAACGTGTCAGCATTTCGTCAGGATGAGAGCTGCCCTGCCCGGGATCGTTTCCTATCACTACAGTGTTCACAATGTGCCGACACTCAGCGCACATGAGCCCCGACCACACTGGGAAGCATCTAGTCTGTCAGATGAAGATGAAGAGTTGTGGTCGCCGTGAGCATCATCAGGGCCAGGGTACTTGTCACACGAGTCATTCTCCGTCATGTTGACATTATGCCGCTGTACTTGAGTGCTACTTCTACTCATGAATCATTGGTCAGTCAGTTCGTAAGTAGAAGATTCATGACTGGAGTCTTCTTCGAGCACAGCAGGTAAACGAAACTCAAACTGCATTCGCAACAAATCAATGAACAAAACCAGTGAAAAGAAAAAAGACTCTCACCAGTGCCCTTGTATCCGACCTTTTGGAATCATCTCGATTCTAAAGCCCTTGTAGGAACTGGAGTAACCGTTGGTGGTATCATACAACAGATAGAGGACCCGAAATGAATAGCCAACAACACCCATGGAATCCCAAGTTCAGGACCCCGGCATCCCGAGACTCCAAAACCCCTTAATTCAGGAATGTGTTGTGGTACGTTGCGCAAGTAAGGGCTTTGGAGTCCCTGGCGTCTTGGCCAAGGAGCTGCAGCATCTGAGGATGGGAGCGCCTCCCTGCTTTGGCCGCCCTGGCACATGGCCTCTCCGAAATTTTACGGTTTAGGGCAAAGACTGTAGGGTTTAAGGAGTTTAAGGCCTGACGGCTTCCTGGATTTCCGATTTTGGGGACTTGCTTGGGGCTTTGGGGATTCGATTGGGGCAGTCTGTATCTGGGGTGGTGATTCTCAAGGCTTTCAAAGCTCTTTCCTGTGGTTTTGCAGTGCTGTGCGTATGTGCGTATGAATAAATGAACGCATAAATAGATAAATATGTGTGTGTGTGTATATATATATATATGTATCTGTATATATATATATATGATTATATATGTATAGAGAGGTGTACTTTCAAGTCTTTGAAGACAGTTTCAATGTACACATGATACAAAAAGTGGATCTGCAGAAACCCAGGCCCCACAGCAGCCTGCTCTCCAGAATGTATATGTATATGTTTATAAACGGGTATACATGTGTATATGTGTGTATATATGTGTATATATACGATGTGCATAGGTGTAGAGGTATATAGGTGTATAGGTATGTGCTGGTATGTATGTATACATGTGTATGTGTATATGCATATGTTGTTATGTATATATGTATGGGTACTTGTAATTCAAGCAGTCCTGGATGTAGGGTCGCAGGAGCGGAGCCCTGCGCTTGGTGTCCAGGCCCAGTGCGGCGGCGGGGCGCAATCGGTCAAAGGAAGCCTCGGAAGCAAAGAGACGACGGTTCGGGCTCTGTGTTTTAATCCAGCGGCACCTTCATCACGCGTTCTGCATAACCAGGCCTGACTCGTCATGTCATTCAGCATAGACATGAGTCATTTCCAACATCCATATTGGAAATCTCATGTCCTGGGTTGGTGGTAGCACTTCTTGGAAGGTTTGCGTTCGAATACACCCGAACACGCAACTCGATCACAAACACGATGCTCACCCGAGAGGGGGCTGTCAACTGAAGACAAAGTTCTGGCACGCTGAAAGCCACTGCTCATGCTAAGGCTTTTAATCCGGAAATCACGCTGTCTGGCCTGCACGTGACAGGGTGGTGCTTTACGTTTCTTGAAGGAGATGCTATCAAAGCTGCTTGCTTCAGATGTCGGGCTGAAATTCCTCCAAGAGACCTTCAAGGGGAAGGAGAAAGCCACCTTGCAAGACTTGCGAGGACTGCAGATTGTCCGTCGCGCTACACAATTACTACACGCGGACACTGAGCTGCCAGTCTTGCACTCATGCAACTGGAGCCCTCAACTGTGCATATCCGTACCACGGATGCATCGGCATTCCTATCATTTTTGTCAGGGTTTCCTGATCCAATTTCCCTGAGAAGGGTTCGGTCCCGGACGCGGACAAAGAAGACTGAGCACGCAAAAACTAGTGAGCCAAACCCTAAGCGCCAGAAAACAAGAAACGACAAAAAACGACAGGCCGTTCCAATTGCTCCCTGGACACGGCGAGGCAGGCAGATACCTCAGCTTCGCAAACGAACATCTTCCAGCACAGGGCCAGCATGCAAGGCTTCTATTAACAGTCCTGATGGAGGCACTGCCTGCTCTCCGCTCCCCTCGATATCAACTCTGACCAAAGACGCAAAAACCTTACAAACATCATGGCAAGTCGCCAAACTGGCGCGGCCCACCGCTGCTGCAGCCGCAGGCGCCGTGTGGAGGGCAGCGAGGGTGAGGCCTTTCGGTTCGCATCGGAGGTTTCGGGCTCCGTATGAATCTGTGCTGAAGGTCTTCAGCCTTCTAGGCGTTCGGAGTGAGGCGTGTTGCTGAAGTCGTATGGGCAAGCCAGGTAACTATAAAAATTCTGCTCACCACCAGCTAGCCCGGCAGCAATTGGCAATGTTCTGTGAACGTGAAGATCGGCATCAGCATCATCGCAGCAATGAGGATAGCTTCGAGCATGCAAATATTTCTTACAGTCAGGAGCACTATGATGACCAGCACCACCAACACAACCTACAAGGACCAGTATGAAGAGGCAGGTATTCCCGCACACTGAGCCTCCGACCAGGCATGAGAAAGAGAAACAGCTTCGTAACCTCGGCTAGATGCTCAAGGTTGTCCTAGTCACGGATCCAAGTGATTCAACGATGTCAAATGCCTCACTAGTTCAGGAAACAAGTTCTGAACGTGAGCTAGATATGTGCCAACGACACCACTCTCGGTCTGAATAACATGCGATTAAAAAGGCAAGCATATAAGCACGACACCATCCGAAGCTGGAGTAGCACGAATCCTCAAGGGCAAGACGTGGGCTCTATGAAGGGCTCTCCCACTTCTCTTGTGGAGCTGGGCTGATGACTTGAGCGGCGCAAAATGCTGGCGGGTCACCCGGATGAAATCAAACCTGTCAAAGATTGGCACAAGGAAGTTCAACAAATGCCGTGTTACAAGAGCAGAAGCAAACATAATACCTAGGACCTAGCTATGATACACACATATGCACAAGCATGCAGGGTTTTGGCCTGATTAAGACTTCACTTTATCGCACATTGTAATTGATTATCTTCAATATCTTTCTAGACTCGGTTACAGAGTATAGATTTATGATTTAAGCTTTAGCCATTCTACACTCTGACGGAGGCTTCAGGCCTCTGCGCCAGGCCCCCGAAAAAGCCGCCAAGACCCAACAGGGCCAAGGCTGCAGTTGCCAGCGCTGTGGGGCGGCCTACGCCAAGCAGGTGCATTCTTGGGCCTTGCAGGCTTCGGGGGCGGGGGTTTGAGGCTTCCGGTCTAAGTTCTATGTTGGAGCCTTAGAACAGTTAGAAATAAAGATTGTAATCTGTCGAATTGAAAGTGCCGTCAAGCAGTTGGCTTGGCACAGGGTCACAAATTCGCTCTCCCATAGAAATACCATCCATCCAAACTGGAACCCACGACCCCAAGTCCGGGAGGTTTCCCTTGCTTTTGAGCGCAGCGATCGGCAGCAGGATATCCAAAAACGAAAGCCAGACTTCGAACTTAGCAATGCGACCTCTGAACGCGTGGCACCGATTCCCAGCTGGCCTTGCCCCAAAGGGCTGGAAAGCCAGGCCAACAGCAAAGGCGTCGGCCCGAAGAAGGCATGCGGAAAGCCTCGGGTGAGCTTTGCATCTGTGGTCGATAGGCTTTTGGGACTGGTGAGTTTGGGCTAGGTTCAGGCAGCAGATAAGCATGGAAGTCAAAACAGTGAGGCACCGCAAGCTGAAATTTACCGCACATCCCAAGCTTTCCGCTGCCAAAATTGAATCGACACGGAATTCCCAAGCTAAAGTCTATGTTAACCTGCTTCTTTCAACTCCGCTGCCCCTCCGCCAAGAAGCCCATAAAGGCGCCAGGAACCGATAAAAGGATCTCTGCCGCCACCCTTGCGCGGTTGAGTGCAGATGAGCAAGATTCGATAGATTTAGGATATGGGCGTAGCTGAACGCAGCCACATGTCGGGATCCTGCAACAGACATGCGGGTGTCAAGCTTTTGACCACTTCTCGGAGTTTCTGTTGATGCAACTCAGGGTCGTTGGGGTGACAAGGTCTTGGCTTTTGGAGACGTTCTGAAAGAGGTCGAAAATACCAAATTGAATGCCCTGACATCCATGCTAAATGGGGGAATCTGAATCTAATGCTCTAGAATCCCTGAAGTTGGGGCTTTGGGCCTTCAGGGTCTAAGTCTGCGCATACACTAGAAGCAATCTGCAAAACTGGCACCAAGTTCTGAACAAACTCGTTGCTCTCTTGATCCCAGGCCTTCAAACTCTAAGTGCTTTGGCTGCAAGGCTTATTATTATTTCGGCCCTCCCCCGCCCTCCCTATCTGCAGTGACCCGCAACCGGAAACAACTGGGCTTTCGGACGGCAGCTTGAGGCGGAAGAACGGGCCGCTCAGGTGCCTCCGTGTCAGGGATTTGGACAAACACCCCTGGGTGTTGGTGCGCCGCCGTGGCCCTTAAATGAATGCTTCCTGCAGTCACAGGTGCCGTTTTTGTTCCTGCTGCTCCTCTTTGTTGCTGCTTCTGCTGGTGCTGTCGAAGGGGATGCATGCTATGTTGACAACAAAAGTTGCCGCTGCTGCTGCATAGTGATGTATTTGATGCTATGGTGCTATCGGCTATCTTTTCGAACATCGGCGCAGCTTTCATCAAACGGCCTGTGCAAAGCGAGTCTTATGGAATGCAGCTATCCCACCGGAAAACTCTTGAAGCACTCAACATCGAAGCAACAAGAGTAGCAAATAGTACCAGTCCATTTAATTCTTCATAGAAGCATCTCATGCATGCACGACTGGAGATCCCTGCCCACCATGCCTTCATTCAAGCTCTCAATATCATGCCTCCGCTCCGCCCTAGCTTAAAAACCTTCGACTCCCTGGAGGCTACGTCAGTCCTCAAACGAATTCGAACACCGCCCCCTCGCCCAGAGCCCTGAGGCTGCGCACTTGTCCAGACGATCGGCGGGGGATCCCTCAGCCCACAGTCGCCGCGGAAGCCGTGATTTGCGCACGGGCACGTGCGGTGGCGCCGGCAAGGCCTAGAAGAGGGAGTGAGGAGTGAGGGCAAGGGCTCGTTTGGATATTAAGGCTTCTGGACTTACAGAACAAAGCATAGAATCGAGTTGGAAGGAACATCGGGCCGAAGCTCAAGACGTTGGTGCTCCATGTCTGATGGTATGGTGGATTTGGCGTTGTGAACCTGTCCGACAGAAGGAAGCTGACAGAGTTCGAGACAAAACAGCTCAGCATCTGATCTGCACTCTCGTGCCCTGGGGTAGATTTAAAGCCCTGACAGCCAGAAAACCCCAAAGATTGCGGCAGGTTGCAGGAAGCGGGTTGGTGCGCACAGCACAAGGCCTTGCTCGGCTGGCCTTGGTAAAGGTTTGCAGGGAGGGGCAGGTGTCGGACCCATGGTCGAACACGCAGTGTTTTTGACTTGGGGGATCCGGCTTTGGAAGATAGCACTCGGGCAAACCCGGAAACCACGACGTACTTTCTTAGGTGTAGCTGCAGCAGTTAAATCCTGAGCTCCGCATCCTCGAAAAGCCAACCTACCAAGGAGCTCTGAAACTTTAGATTAAACGGTCTGAATTCTCGATCTGCCTACAACCGCACGCAAGTATCGTAATTGACGGCCATCCTTGACGTTGCGGGTGATGCTCTAATAACCGTGAGGCCGTGAGGTCATGCCGACTGTCGTCCTCTAGCTGAAAGAACTCTGAAAGAACCATGGTTCCCCTTTTCAAGCCAGCCGTTCCCATCGTCATCATCATTGTGACCATATACTGCGACTCGTGCCAGTTTGTGGCTCTTCTCCTGCTGAACCATGAATGGGCCAGAAGGCTTGATGAGACCGCTCCAGCAATTCCCAGTGTTACCCGTACAATTATCCGCAGGTCTGCAGTGATTGCGGCGGTAACGCCCGTTTCTTGACCGCCCGCTGCACCCCAAATCCTAAGTGATACTATACCACTGCTCCAACCACTTTGCAAAATCAGAGGTTGCTAAGATTCATAGCATCAACTGTGCTCGCCCTGGTCTGCAAGCAGGGCGCAGCCACGGCGGCACCGGAAATCACCACATGGCTGGCCATTCTGCTGAGTGTGTGTGTGTGTGTGTGGGGCTACGGTCAATGATGACATCCTGCGGTTTCGCGCAATTTCTGGCATCCTGTGAAAGCTGCAGCAACGGTAAGCTTGGAACACATGTTGAGGACTTCCGACTGTGTCTGCCCATCATAAAGGTTGGTCCTCGTCAGTTCTGCCAAGAGCCCAAACCTAAGCTGCAGAAGTCCACGTTTTGCTACGCTCGGGGCTACCCCGTGTGGTGTTCAATCCAATAACGTAAACCTGACATGCAAAACCAGCATTGGTTGCTTTCCGGACGAACCATCACATCTGCAAGTTTTGGTATGCTGTCTTGAAGCCGCTTGCCTGCGGGGTAGGGATGGAATAAAATAGTAAGTCACAGAAATGCGTAACAGTTTCAGACCCAAGCCCAATGCAGCCCTTTACCCTAAACAACCCTACAGCCGAAAGCCTTCACCCAGCCTCCACCGAGAAGCCGTTGAGACCTCGCCGAGACTGGCTGTTGCTGCCTGCAGGTGGGCGGAGTCGCCACAGTCCTTAGGCCTAGCCGCTTGAAACCTGGAGTCTGAACCAAGCCCAACTTTGCCTTGCTCCTCGAGGCATTCACAAACGAACGCTTCGGGTCAACAGTACCGGCCTCAACCCTGAAATTCTTCGAACCTTTGCGCTCGCAACAACGACCGCCCGACCTACAGCCACACGTCGCGCTGCTGCCGCAGATGCCGCTACCGGTCCTACTGCTCCTGTTCCTCCTCCTCCTGCTCCTACTCCTCCGCCAACAACAACAGACTACTACGACTATACCTACTTCCTACTCCGTGCTACCTACTACAGTACCTACTGCTGCTGCTGCTACCACTACGACGACGACTTCTACGACTACTACTACGGATACGGCTGAGTGCTGCAAGTACAACGACTTATGCCAAGTATGAATGAAGACAACAACAGCGGCTATGGCTCCTCCAGTCCTGCTGCTACTGCTACCGCTGCCCATGCAAACCTGCCAACATTATAGGACGAATTGCAGCAGGCCTTCGCTCTCTGGATCTGGCATCTCTAGCAGGCCTTGCTGGGCCAAAAGTGCACAAGGTCCCTTCCAAGACAGAATCCTGCAAGCCGCAGACCGGTGTCTGGAGCCCGGAAAATGAAAGTGACTGTTTACCACCAACAATGCACCTGAGCCCTGAGCCTGGCTGAAGAGAGTCTTCTTAGGTTTTTGCAGTAGTTCGGGACGTGCATGTTGCGGGGACTGTTGCCGCTCGTATTTTGGAGCTGACTTTGACTCTTGGGACTATGATGATTTCCTCGCGCGGCACAACTACTATCGTCATGGTCTTTACCGTTTTCGTGACTCACTACTGCCTTGCGCTTGCACCAATCCTGGTGTTGACATCCACTTGCAACTCTAGCTCTGTTTGGCAAACAAACTCGAGTACAGTTCAGTATGGCGAGTCTAGTTTGTCCGGAGGACTCTCGATCGCAAATGATCAACTGGCCCGTCCTCGCCCGAACCACCAAAGCCCTCTGCCGAAAAACCAATACTAAGCCAAAGAAGAAAGCTCGTAAAAGTCTGCCAGGGCACTGCCCAACAAGGTCTGGTGCTCGTTAAGGGCCTTCCCAAGAAGGCAAAAGGACAGCTGTACAGTCTCTCATAGAATTAAGTCTGAAGCCACCAAATAGCTGGACCAAACATCGGCTCTATGCTGGCATAATTGACTAGGTCCTAGCTGTCTCAACAACTTCAGCCATGGCTGGGTCAAGTTGTAAAGGGAACTGGACACCCAGAGTTGAGCAAACATTGGGGCGTCATGTGCGAAAAGCTTAGCATCTGCCAGGTTTCGGGCGCAACAGGAGACCTTTGAAAGCCAAATGTGCTTTGGGCTTTACGAAGCTGCTTCTGAGATGAAGCTTTAACTTCACGCGTCTCTCTTGAGCCGCCCGTGGAAAGGCATCTCGCTTGAAAGTGTGGTCACCAAGGGTGGTTATCTTGGGCCGAGCACAGTCGCTTAGCCACACAAACTGCAACTACCGACGATATCGACGCCGCCTCAGCCGAACATTGCCTTCAAGCGAGAAATTCACAGCTCCCCAAACCACGTCAGCACTGAGCCCCAACACTCCCAAACCTACATCCCCAGCTGCCAACCACCCCACACACCAACAGAACACTGAAAATACAATCCAAACTCCAAACACCTCGTGCACTTCCGTTTCGTCGGAAACCCATCCGTAAACACCCAACTTCATCCGCTGCAGCCCTAAACCTTCAATCCTCAAGCATTAACGACCTAAACGCCTAAATCACAAAACTGTCACTGTAAGGCCAAACCCTACACCGCTTAACCCCCCAACCCCCTTCAAACAGAAGCATCAACCAGCCTCCAGCTCTGGCGCTCCAAAGCCCATCAGCTCCTGTGCAGCATGCACGATGTGTTGGGCTTTCCGGCTGATGTTTTGGTCAGTGCCTCTCCGTTTCCAGCAGTTGGGGAAAAGGGTTTTGGGTTAGGACTTTTTGGATTTTGCTTCTCAGGTCTAGTATCAGGCCTTCTGTACAGCAGTTGTCTGCAGCGTTACCCAAATACGACGTAATTATAGTGTGCCCCGGAGCGCTCCATCGGGTATTCTGTCGGTAATCTGTGAGAGTGAGCAAATGTGTCTCCGTCCTAACACACTTGGACCAGCAAAGACTGGCCATCAAGTAGTTTGGGGATTGTGCGCAGCCCTGCCCGTTCTTGGTGATATGGATGATGATGATAATGACGGTAATTGCGGTGGTTGCAGTGGTGATGTTGCTCGTCCACATGAACTCTATTTAATTACTATCGCATTGATCCCAAGCCTCGGGCAAAACGAGCTGGCTTGTTTTTGGGCGTAGCGCTGACAGTTCCAGGATCTACGTTGCTTGGGTTTGCAGATCAGAGTTGGGCTCGTGCTTCGGATCTATGCCAAGCCCAACTCGTTCAACTCCAACCCCGGCAAGCGGCGAAACGCAAGACATTCACATGTTCACAACGTAACATAGTCATCACTGCAATAGCCCTTGTCAGTCTCAAAATCGGAAACACGCTCATAGAATCTTTGCCATTCCGACGGGCTCGATGCCCTTGTGAAGATGATGATACGACTACGTTGTCGGTCGCTTGTATCGGCTGTTATTGTTTGCCGTAGCTGCGGCTCATTAAACCCAGGAACCATGAAGGGAACCCTAAACCCTAAACCTAAACATTCCCAAACCCGTACAGTAATCCTAATCCCTAAACCTTCAACATGCCTAAACTACTAAACCACACTTCCCGAGTCCCCTCGGTGTCTGCGCCTCCTCGAGCCAAGAGTCGTCGAGCTCGCGCTCGGGATCCTTTGAAGGGTCGCCACTTTTCTTTAAGGACTCTAGGGAAAGTTTAACTTCTTCCGGGAATGTAAGGTTTGGTGTTGGGATTTCGGATTGTGTCTGTAGTTGAGAGGCAAAGTTTGGGATTAGGTTTGAGTGTTAAAGGTTGAGAGATGAATTTAGGATTTTTTGGTCGTCTTCGGACATGGGGAGGCGGGTTAGAGAGGGTCTGGCAAAGCTGAAACCACAAACACTAGATAACACTGTATAAACCAAAGGCCGATGAAGGGGAGGTTCGGAAGGACCAGCCTCGTGGACGATGCCGTCCCCGTGGAAGACAAGCCCGGCATCCTCATGCAGAGGATTTTTGGAGATGAGGCCTTGAGTCTCAAACGTCCAAGCGGAAGCACTTAGTGTCGGTGTTGGCGGAGTCTCAACAGTAAGGCTTCACCACGAAGGCTGCTCCTGCACAAGCTACGTGTGCCACCACTACTACTCTCAGTACTACTGCTGCGACTGCTGGCTTCATCGTCAGATAAGTAGATAGAGCATGCAAAAGAACATTACAGTGTGGGAACTCGGAGAGCCAGAAGATGCTAGGTTAGTGATCTCTGTCCCCGTTCGGTCGTGGATCTGCAAAGGAAATATTCGGCTGGTTGCCCAGGAGTTTGGGGTTTTCACCACAAAATTTGACGGAGGACCTGGTTATGGCGGAGCAATTCGAACCGTTTTCCGACGTTCTGGTAGGTGGCTCCAAACTCCGAACTTCTTGGACGGGACATGGCTGCTGTTAGGCCAAAGCGAAGCCTTCAATGACGCAAACACACCTACTGTAAGGGCCTCGCACCTGCATCTAAAGCAAACCAAGTCGGGATGGAAATTGTTGCGCAGCCACCTCGAGGATGCCATCCATCATGCACTCCTGATCACGCTTCAGCTTAATTGCACGGCTGCTTCGAGGCTCCATAGAATCCTAGAGGCCGTTTGCGAGGCGTTTCAGGGGGCATGCAGGTCTGGAAAGCCCACTGTTCATACAATTGTCGACGAGACGGAGATCAAGGGTGAGGAAACCGGGCAGAGCTGGATTGTAGCTTTACAGGTTTGCCTATGGGCGTTGCAGATGCTTACGCTCTTGGGGTCTCTCAACTTTGAAGATTTTGCGGAAAGCGTCGGTCTGTCGGCCCTCATCTCGAAATCCCAAGCAAGGAGCCCTCAACCGTCCTCCTCTCCGCTGCTCGGACTACCTGGCATCGCCCCGGGCAGCGGCCCGACGGTCGGGGCCTGGGTGCCCTAAGCTAGAGAGAAACAGACCTCGTGCCATTCAGGATTCGGAGACACTCCCTTTCAGGTGACACTCACCCCTTTTCCTGGGATCTTCGGGGCTTGGTGCTGGTATGGTCGACTAACTCGGCACGTGTACAGCTCCCCATGCAAGCCTAAACGAACCACGCAAGAGGTCTCCTTTTATCCTTTTTCACTCCTAGGCAGCGTCGGCAAAGACGGCGGAGAGCAGCGAGCCGACGCAACCTGAAGCCGTGCCCGACAGAAAGAAAACAAGGTCGTTCCGTAATCCAGCTTGCTTGGTGTATGAAAAGACGTGGAGTCAAATGTGATATGAAGTGTTGCATGTATATATGGATATATATATATATATATGTAAATATAACTATACATATATATATATATATATACATATATATATACATATATATACATATATATATATATATACAAATATATATACACATATGTATATATATATATATATATAGAGACAGACCGATAATTAGATGGATAGAGTATGACATTTGTGGACACATCATTGTCTGCTCCCTTCCACAGGACATCTGCCGAGCCGCCGCTCATTTCTTGATAGATGCGCAGCGCTGGCTGCGCCATGTCTCCTCGCTGAGGGGTGGAGGGTTTTGAGAGTGTTCGTGGGCTGCAACGTGCAGCTTTCTGGTGTACCCTCTCTCCGTGTTGTTCTCTTGCGAAGCAGTGCTTCACGAAGCCACACTGGTAAAGCTAGCAGCTGGACGCTGAGAATCTGCCAAAGCGTTGCTGTCTGAATGCAAGTATCAGCTTTCTTTTAATTTTATCGAAACTCTCACAACTCGGATCGCCCAAATCTCGAAGAGCTGAAGGCCTAGGCTTGGTGAACTGCCTCCAACTGAGGTAGCACAGTGTACGGCTCAGAAGCATTTCGAGCCTTGTTGGGCTCTCGCAAGGTCTTGAACCTTCTGTTTTCGGGGACTCTCGCGCAGCCTTGCCCACCCCTGCAAATCCGAAGACCTGAACCACAAAGTCGCACGTATAGCGTGACTGTCAGACAAAAACCTCTGAAGCTGAATCCTGGCATCGAACAGCCGAGCACGGCTGAGCTTGAAAATTGCAGCTAGGATTAACACTGCGATTGTCCGCATCATTATCTTTATCATGAGTAGTTTCTCGAAAGAGTCATGAGCAATCTGAGTCTGCAGCTCGTTTCGAAAATTGTAGCTGCTGCTTTGTAGCTGCCAGCATCGGGCTGAACCTTGTGAGACAAGGGCTTGGAGGGACGTAAGATTCGGGGATTTTGAGACGAGCGAGGCATAAAGTTTGTGGATTGGAGCTGCAGCGTATTGCAAAAACTAGCTGCCGTGGCTCTATTCGGAGAAATGAACAAAGGTCTGAAAGCAGAGAGGAGAACCGTTCCGTCTGAAGCTAAACCCGCTGATGTGAGGAAGCTGGGGCTCTCTGCCTCAATGCTTTCTTTGTCATGGGCGCCTCATTCTGGCGACTTCTACAAGTCGAACACATATTTCAGCAAGCATGCATTTCTCTGGACATGTGACTGTGCGGCTGTGTAATGAAACAGATTCTTATCTAGCAAGTCTAAGGCGGTGGGGGATACGCATGCTGGTGCCCCGGGAATGATGTACGCGGTACTGAGTACAATGACAAACTTATGTCTGTCTGTACATTGGTATGTATCGTACGTGCGCAATGGCATGCAATGTGATGCAAAGCACTGTGAAATGATGCAATGCAATGTACTGCACGCCTGCAGTTAGGTAAGGCATTGCAAAGGAAGGTGCAGGAATCTGTAGAGGGTAAGGATAACGGCGGGTTGGGGTAGGGCAACGGAAACAATGCAAGCCAAGACAATGGAGCATAGTCTAATGCAGTGTGGTGCCAAGTAATATTCGAAGCTGATGGCAGTACTCGTGGCAGGCCTCGGCGGCCCGCATTCGCTGGAGAAGCGCTGCTGCCACCGGCGCTGGAGCTGAACCCCGTGCCGCAGCCGCGAGGGCTGCATTGAAGCCTCGCGCAGGTTTGGAAGGCATTCTTTAAAATAGTTCTGTAGCTTTGTACTCTGGAGGCTTGACTTTCAGCCGTATTGTGAGCAGAAGCGACCTGTACGAATTCAAACCATCAGTCAAAAGCATTTGGCACCAACTGCTCCTGAATCTGGCGATCGCTCTTACGCGCACGAGCATGGCACTGATTTCAAAGGCCGAGCAGCTGATCTCATGCGGAAAAACGCTGGCACGCTCCATGTAGCCCTGACATGCAAGTGAAGCGTTTGGGCTGTTGCACTGATTCTGAAACTCTGAGGGTGGCCAGCATCTCGACGCAAATACAACCTCCCGTGCAGGAATTCTATTGTCTATAGAGCATCCTGCCACTTTTGGCTCTGTGACGAATGTCGTGCCTTGCCAGGATGTGCGCTTGTATTTAACAAGCTGAGCCGGCCTAGACACAACGGGGACAGATCCAGACGTTCGGTGTGCAATCGAATGCAGTCCGGACGCCAGCATGTCGACTGCCAGCGGCCACTGGGAACCCGGGCATGCACTGATCACCTTGGGAACGCGGGTTCTCTTGTGTTCAGGTAAGACAATCCCCCAACCCGGACATGTCTGCTTGAAGACTACGCTGTAACATGTGTGTTTTTGGCCCTGTCTACTGGTTGCTGGGAACGACAATCAGTAGCTGTGAACAGCTCTGGGCGATGACTGCTCTGGGCTGCGGCCCATAATGAAAAAGACCCTGGCGATAAGCATATCCCCGTGGCAAGACGTATACAGAGACGAGGACTGTCACTAGGAAACTGAAGGCACTTCGATACAGTGCTCAGAACGACTCAGATCAGAATGCCCGACACGACAAATCGCACTCTGCGAGCCCAGAACCTCAAGTCCAACCACTCCGAAAAAAGCTTCGGGCGTTGTCTCCTGCGCACCGCATGCGCATGCAAAAAAACCTGCATCCTATATATACCCTGTGCAGGGGAAGGCTCCGCGCGGCAAGCGATTTCGCCCTCGGAGGAAACATGGACTTTCTGCCAGAATGTGGCGCAGCTTTGATATGCTGTGCGGGGTCTGTGCTAGAGTGTAGAGTTACCTAAGGGCTGCGAGAGTTCCGCGGATGAGGCTGTCTAAGGTTTGCATCATGTTGGTGTGCAAAGGATCCAGGCTCAAGGGCTTGCAAGAGTGGCGGCGCTCAACCTTCGAAGTCGTCTCGAGTTCTGTCGTTGCTTGTTATAACATCTACTAATCTACTACTGGTCATCTGAGTTGGAATGGTAAAATGAGGAAGGACAGCTACAGGACAGCAGACGAATCTGGCGGGACCGAGAACTTTTTTCATACCGTTACGGAAACCCTCCACCTCCCCAGGCCCCGAAGCCCCGAAGCCGACAAATAAGCATTCCAGCTACTCGAGCCTTGAGACGACTGGTCTCTGAGATCTGTCGACTAAGCTATCGGGTAGGAGAGCTCTCAGTGTGTTGCGACTGCATTGTCGCACATTCATCCCTGACGTTATCAAAGTCTTAGAGTCATGAGGAGTTCAGGGCATTGGGTTATACATGCCCCCAAGCATCAAACGAAGATGCGAAGCTCTTGCCAAGAGGCTGGAGGCAAACTGACTTCCTGCATCTCCTGGTGCTTCATACTTCGCCAAGGCCCCGCTTGAGCTTCAACCCGAAAAGTAGCTAACTGATTCTACAGAGAGCCCCGATATCTAAATGGAGTGACTTTGGCTTCTTTGGCAGGGTGGCTGCTGCTTTCGTGGGCATATCATACATGGTGGTTCGGTGCCTGGTTTGGGGTCTTGCTTGCTTGCTTGCTTGACCGCTTGGAATAAAGCAGCGAGACATCCTTACCAAACCCCAGGGACCTTGCTAAAGGCACATCAGATCCCTCCATTCCAGCCGAACCGCGCCGCTGGAATATCAGTCTTCTCACGAAGCGAACCTGTACAAGAAGCAATTCGACTCAATCTCGACCGTGTCCAAACATAAGCTGCGCCTGCACACTGTACACTAGCTCACGTTCGGAAAATTCAACACAGGACCAGAGGGCACTTCTAGTGACTCTAATCATTCAATCGTCGTCACGTGGGAACTGAGGTTTCGGGACCTCTCTGGAGCCGATCTTTCTCCACTCCACTTTCTTATTCTGAATGCAGAAAACCGGTGCCCTCCACTCGCCACAGCCACAGGATTGCCCAGTCCACGAGAAGCTCCCCAACTTGGCACCACACTCGCAGTTAAGCTTGCCCTCCGAAGCAGAGGTGCTCATCCACTGCATCGGTTCTACGTAGTGTCCGCTGGCACACTCATGTAGCACGTGGGCGCTGGAAAACAAAGGCTTCTGGCATTTCGTGCAGCAGCACACAGACGATGGGCTTGTAGCCACAGGTAGCCGGACACCCAAGCTGCGGACAAGCTCCCGCTGCAGAGCCAAGGCGAGCTCCGGGCTAAGAGTTTGCGTAAATGGGCACTCGGTGACATTCTCCACCGCGCATGCATGGCTCATCCCGTCCCGTATATACAAATCCATCAGAGCAGTGCGCCAAAGTTCCTGTGGCGGCGCTCCTCTCATCAGATCGGCCTCCGGCACCTGCAGCCCATCCCCATCCTCTCCGAGGCAGAAGCCAGCTGCCTCAAAGACCTTGAGCTGCTCACAGAAGTTCTCGGCCGGCGAGGCATTCGGATACGTTGCCTTGAAGATCTGCAGCGCTAGGCTGAAAGGCAAGCGCCAGGTACGCATCAAGTAAGCCGTGACGATGGAAGCAGATCGGCTTGCACCGGCGAAGCAGTGGACCAGCACCCGGCCATGAGCCTGGAAGGCTTCGTCTAGGAAGGCGAAGCAACGGCTCAGGTGGGGAAGTAGGTTGTCTGTTCCATCATCCAGCAAATCCAGGGTGAGGTATCGGAAGGCTCCAGGGAACTGGGCCTTGCAGCTTCGTGCTACCACGGCCACGTGCGTGATGCCTTTGGAGCGCAGCTCGGCATAGTGGGCGGCGGCCTCCGCATCACTGATGAAGAGCCCGGGGAAGACGGCCGGGTGGATGGCAGGCAGGGCCATGGGATGCTCCGCACGCGGGGGGAGCTTCTGTTCGGATCTTAGGGGCTTGTTTAAACAATCTTGGACACATGTCTCAAGCAGTCAAGATTTTGCGCACTGTACTTGATGTCGATAAAGGCGGCAGGAGCACAGGCAAAACTCAGATCTTCATCCAACACCGCGCGCAGCCCTGATGATGCCTGCTTCCGTGTGCATCCCAAACTCCCAAACCCTGAATCCCAAACCATCAGGGGCTTCTAGAGATCCTCCAGGAGATGGAGGGCCAGCTGCCAGTCACCAGACTTCTCGCAGGAGCCAATGGCGCAAGTGTAGCCTCAAGCTGGATCTCTTGGTCAGAAACAGAATTAAGGTGTTCTGTTTTAGAGAGCTTACGGATCCTAAGATGTACAATGAGACTCCGTTCCTGGAAGCTACCAGCTCCTGCTCGAGGAAGTAAACTTTAGGAGTACGTCAGGGGCTTTGGGAACTTCGGGCTGAAATCAGGCGTCCAGCTATCGGCAAGTTGGGATTGCAACTTGCACCACTGCGTGGCTAGGTATACGTTAATCTTAAACTCAGGGGAATCAGCTGAAACGACAGCCACCGAACCCGACACCTGAATCATGAACCCTACAGCTCAAACCCTCAACTCCCACTCTGAAGCCTCGGCCAACAACCCTTTCACTCAGAACTCTGAAGCCGAAACCTCCAGAAACCAAGGGCGCGGCTTATCTCGTTACTCAAACGCAGGTTCACCATCCTGGCACACAGCCGGGCTTCTTAGCCTTCGGGCCTGGGGCTTCGTGAGTCCGAGGTTTGGTCTGGGAAGAGACCGGCCTGGCCAGGAGTCGCAGTGAGGGGCCGAGCTGCCCACACCTCGCTTGGCGCAATGCAATAGCTCGCCGACATGCAAGGAAACAACCAATCGCGCTTCTAAACAAGTCAGAATTCTGACAAAGTGCGGAATGGCAACTCGACTATCGCAAATGGCCCATTGCAAGCTGCATACCTATAATTGACAACCAAAAGAAATTAAGTCGAGCGGTCCCTAAAGCACCAATCAACCCAGCGGCTTCTCGCAAGAGCTCAGCGCTGAATTGGCACCCACGGCATCCAGGCGCAGCATGCGTTTCTCAGCCTCCGCCCTTGGTCTCTATATGGTAAGCATAAGCACGGCAGCGATGGCACGAGGTAACAGCAACCCAAGTCAACATCGTCGTCGGCTTCTGCTTCTTCTTCATCACCGCCATCATCACCGTCGTGAGCGCCAGCACCACAAACATCAATGTTACTATCACCATCATAACCACCATCATCATCATCATCATCACCCTCATCATCATCATCATCATCGTCATCATCATCATCATCATCATCGTCATCATCATCAACGTCAACGCCGTCATCGTCATCATTGTCACAATCGTCATCGACATCATCGTCACCATCACTGTGGCCATCACCATCACCATCAGCAGCAGCAGCAGCAGTATCGTCGTCGTCATCATCCTCACAGATGCGAACGGACGATAAAATGCTGCACAGGAACAACATGCAAGTACGTGGGAGAACAGATGTGGAGCCTTGCTCAAGCAGTGGTTATCGTTTGCATTTAGGTTCATTTGTTGAGCATTTCGGGCATCATGGACACAACGGACTCGCGAACTCTGATTGAGCAGCTGACTTTCCTCCCATCGACTTCAAGGGAGCTACATGCACCTGAAGGCCTCTGTGTTACAACCTTGCTTCCTTCCCGGAAGCTGGCTTCGAAAGCCGGGTCACAAGAGCAGCAGAGCCATCTCGGCGTGGGGCTTTCGTAGGTTGTGGAAGGCTGTCTAGCGAATCTTGTCGGGGCTTGTAGACCACGGGGACGCGTTTAAGGTCTTTACGGCAGGCCGTAGCCAAATCCTCAGATTGGAGGCGATCGTACAGCAAGGGCCTAGCGCGTTGACAGGGCCACTGGGAATTGAAACAGGTGTGGGTCTGTGTGTGTGTGTGAAGCTGCATGATTTCTACGCAAAACAATCTCAATCTGAGCAGGACCCAGTGAGACTTCTTGCTTGATGAGTATGAGACCGGTTCAGACTTTGCGGACGATTGACGGCTCTTTAGAGCCCATGTGGAAACATCTTTGACAGCTGTTTGTGCCGGTCCTGGTACATGTTGACAACAGAAGAGCATGGAGCACACAGCGGTATTCGACATGAAGCAAAAATCACTCTTCTTGCAACCTGTGTGAACACCCTAGGTCGCGACATCGACTTGTCGAGTACAAGTGCAGATGTACACTTGAGGAGTTGTTGGGTTTTTGATGCACAAGTCGAAACAAATAGGCAACCTAGCCAGGGTAACGGCAGAAGAATAAGATCAAGAACAAGCGACTGCTTGCAAGAAAAATAATGAAATTCACAACAGGAGTAGAGGGGCTTTATTCTAGTACTAATGCCAGAGTCGTCAAAATCTACACCTAAAAATCTAAACCTAAAAAGACCCCTGATTGACACCCCAAACGTAAGGTATCGGATTTGTCAGGCATCGTCTGCAAGCACCTGCGACCGAAGTATCACCAAAAAAGCCCACATGTTCAATCCAATCTGAACACCTCCCTTTTGACGAGGGGCCTGCCACTGTCCACCCTTTTCGCAGACATCCACAGCCGAGTTGAAGCTGATCCTCAGCTTAGGATAGGGAGAACGCGTTTCTGGGAAGCCCAATCACTATCACCTTTAGACAAGCGAATGTGAATATAGCTTACGATTTACAGTGCTTCTTGTCTCCCTGCACTCCAGGTCCCCATGTCATGGGTAGGATTCAGGACTCTGGTTTGGCATACGGCCCCACAAATGACGTATTTTGAGACCAACAACCTAGGCAAAACACAAACCATCCCAGAAACTTGAATCATGCAGCTCTGCAGAGCCACTGGGTATGAAGGCAAGCCTGCCACTTGCATCCAAGACACATGTCTGGGACGATGGCAACCTCCGGTTTGACAGCCGTTGACTGAAGGAAAGAAGCCTCGATCCTGAACCTTGAAGCGGAAATTTACCTCACTACCGTTGGTCTCCGCCCTTTCTTCCCAAAGCTACGTCTTCTGGCGGCTCACGGATTCGGGTATTCTTGTTGCTCGGCTTACAGCATTCAGGGCTCTTTGCAGTGCTGACTCACGCCGTTGCCTTCTGTCGCGCTTAAATCAGGTTGCCGCTATATATGGAAAGCCTGGCTCGCCGGGGACGACCCTCAAAGATGGCAGAACTACAGTTGGTCCAACCGAACTTCCGAACAACTACAGACCCCAGCAAGCCCGAAGCCCTGAATCCAAGGCTTGTCCGCTTAGCGCCTCATCCATCTCCTGGAGGAGCGAACCGGCTTCCTCCAAGGAAGGCGTCTGATGCTGTGCTGTGAAAACAGACAGTCTCTGCAGTCAGGCCAAGACTCCCACACACCCGGTGTAAATCTATGCATGAAAATGTACACATATATGTATATACATATACACACACACACACACATATATATATATATATATATATACATACAGGCGTACATACATGTATGTGCACAAATATACACATATAAATATACGCTATATATATACATATTATTCTACACATGTATATGCATATACATATACCTACTGTACCTGGGCGTTACATATACAGGTACATGTGCACTCACGCACCCATGTGAATGCATACATTTGCATGTGTATAACCTGCACATACACACATTGCATGCGCGTATGTATATATAAATATATACGCACAGATATGCCTATGCATACATACATACATACATACATGCATACTGTTACATTCAAAGCATTTATACGTACTACATACATCCATGCGTGCATACATACATATTATTTACACTCGCACCGTGAGCTAGGCTTGTTCACACGCTACACGCTGCAGCATGAAAGCGCGATCCTGCGGAACATGTGCGCGTCGAGAAGATGTGTAGAACTGGGCCAAAGGATCCCCAATTCCTTGAAGACCCCATGTTAAAATCGGATTACAAGCTGTACCAAAGCAGCCCCATAGTTTAGAAAGCTTCAAGGCAGCAACGGGGCCCTAGTATAGCCCGTCAGGAGCAGAAGACATCCAAACACGAACACGTCCAGGAAACTGGAGCAGATTTGCAGCATGGCCCTAGCAACCCGCGCCTGCCAGCGCCCGCCGGAAGCACATGCCTTTGGCTTTCCAGGTTTGTGCAGGGAGGGGAGAGGGTGCCAACAGCTCAAGGCTTGGGGTTTGTTGGTTTGAGAGTTTGGGGCTCAGTACTATCGGCTGTCTCACTTATGTGAAGCCAGCCGGTTCAACTCAAGGGCAGGCACGCCCTTGCTAATAGCCTGAACATCTCGAATGCAGAAAGATGAGGTATTGAGCGAAACTTCACAATGTGTTTAAGGGAGTCTCAGCCAAGAGTTTCAGGAGTAGGCTCGAGTGCCGCAATTAGAAGACAAACTAAGCAACAAGACATGTGCGCTAGTGTACACACGCAGGTATGTGTGTTTGCACCAGTTTGCACTATGCACAGTCATGTCTATGTGACCGCGTGTGCAATGAATGCATGCATGCTGCAGCGGAAAGTAAGCACTCCGTCGTTCAAGAATGCAGCATTGTACATCATGGAAATGTGAGCTTGCAGGGCCACATGCAGATATCAGCATCTACATACATGCAACAACACCAAAACTGACATGGCCCTCCAGCGTGCAGAAACAATCCTACACAAAACTGCAGTCAAGACGCCCCGATTGCGGCATTGTATGCAACCTGACAGTGTGCACGAAAGCAGTCATCAAATAATGGACGGCGCAGCACAGCTAAAGTAGTACAACAAAGTGATGGTGCGATGAGACCTTAGAGCATCAACACACTATGAAAGGTACGTAGAACATACCCATTAGAATCCAAGATGTGTCGCAAGGCATGAGAGATTGTGTTCTAGAGCGGAAATAAAGATGCGATATGCGACAACTTCGAAACAATGGCCCTCTTTTCATGGGGTTCGAGAAGCTCGGCATGTCGCAACCAGTGCTTCGAACACTTCGGCTTAGAGTGCTGTGCGGCTGCACGGCTCCAGACTGTCCGAGTCTAAAGCCGGGCGTATGCTGGATGAGTGGATGGAACAAAAACCTTCGAAAAAGGCTCGCACCACCCCGTGGAAAATCGATCCTAAACCTTTGGGCTATCTGGATCTAGATGCTGATCTCCTACGGCGAATAGCCTGGCTGGAGCCGAGCCCTGAAGACTAAATTCTGTAGACTTCAGACCATAAAGCCTCAAGTCGCACAATCGCGTGCCCTGAACCGACTAAGAGCCCTGTGCAACACACACACACACACAGAGACACACACTGAACCCTGAACCAGACCTACCTCCAACACCCCGAAGCTCTAGACCTGAAAACTTTCAGGGCCTGGTTCAGCTCTACTCCACGCTGAGACAGTTCCCGGAAGAGCTGCCGACCTCGCTCTCCAGCCGAGGCACCTTGTGGAATGGATAGCGAGAGAGAGAGAGAGAGAGAGAGAGAGAGAGAGAGAGAGAGAGAGAGAGAGAAAAAAAAAACAACAATACATACATATATATATATATATATATGTATATATGCTCGTTGACACCCTGGCAAGGAAAGCAGAGAGAGCGAGAGAGGGAGAGAAATGAGCGTGCGTCAAAGTGCGGGATTTAGGTTTAGATGTAAATGCATAAGTCAATAGGTAGCTCTATCGCTATAAGTAGATGAAGAGAAGAATAGATACACGGAGAGACAGACAGATAGATCTGAGAGCGAATGGTCATGTTGTATGCGGATGTGCATGTATGCATATATGTATATATGTGTGTATGTATGTACGCACGTATGTAGGCATGTATGTATGCATGTATGGAAAGGCGGGTGCACACGCAGCATGTAGGTTCACATACAAGTGCATAAGGATGCACATGTTGATACCCATGTCTATGCGTCTCATTGTTGCTCTCTCCGTTGCGTCTGTGCTTTCGTGGACTATGCATACCTCCTGGAGCAATCAGAAGTTACAGGTTTTTCACAATCCGATCACCACAACTGTTTCAGCGAGGTTGCAGTGACAAAGATTCAACGGGGGAGGTTCACTCAAGCTTTAGGGTCTCGGCTTTGGTGCGGCTCTGTGGTTCTGATCTTGAAGTTACCTCGTCCGGAACCCCCAGGCCTCCGATACAAAACCAACACCGGAACCCATCCCGTTCCCAAGCTTTAGACTCAACCAACATGCCTGGTCATCTTCCAAGAACGCTTGGCTGGGCATCGCAGGCTGAAAAGGGGTGGACAGGAGGACTTTGCCCAAAAGGGCCCAGGCGCCTCAACCTATGGCCCTAAACCAAAACCCAAGCTGCGCAAAACCTCCCACCATTTCGACGAAGCTGCGGATGGAGGTGCTGATTGTAAACGCATCAACCTCAGATGCTTGCAAGGTTGCGACGAAGGCTCTGGCTAGCTTCAGGGGTCCGACTACTCAGTGGGGTGGCACATGGCATGCAGCTGGCAGGACCTTTTCTGCCCCAGCGAGACCTCGCACGCCCCCGACTTTGGAAATCCGGTGCAGCAGATGTCAGCATGGTCACGCGCTTCAACAACATTTCGATACTGGCATGGCTTGTCAGGCGACTGCAACAACTCCACACTATCAGCTACATGCAAGGATTGAATCTTCGTCGTCGATGAAGTTCAAACATCCTCCTACACTCTCAAACTCAGGTCCAGGGACCTGGAGATCGTGATCGGACATGAAGGCCAGGAGCTCGAGTGCCTCAGATTTTGGTACTTTGCGCTCCAAGGGCCCACTGGATGATATCGGGGCCTTTTCCCCACTCTTCTGTTTCTAGAAGTCTTCGGTATTGACATGGGCATATCCATAGCCGAATCGAAGAAGTTCATAGGAGCGCATGACTCTGTCTGTGCCATGTATACATACAGTCCTAGCACTGCGCCCAGCTGTGTCCGTGTCTATGCATGGGTTCGAAGAGTAAAAGATTTACGTTCATTATCGCTTCCTTACATGTGTCCACTAGGAAAGATGCATTCGCACGTGCAGATCAGCACTGTAGAGTAGGTTTGTGTGCTCGAGCCTCCCGCGACATCCTGCGATACACATCCTGGGAAACTACTACTGCGGGCTCCTGAATTAATTGATCTTGAGAACCACAATACATCACAGCAAACTGGTTAGGGCTAGAAAGGCCTCAGGCTGCAAACAGAAGGTTTTGGACTCGGCCAGGGCAGCTTTCGATGAAGCTCCGTTGCTGTAATGCCAGCTACACTGGCCACTTACACAGGGTTCCTGATTTTTGAGTACCAATTTCCAGCCTTAGCCAGGCAAACTCCTTTCCCGGGGCCCCTACGCGGCCCGCTCTCAACTCCAGAAGACTAAACTCTCTCGTCTCGTGCTGGTGGGGTAAGTGATTCTCCAGGTTTGGGGATCCATATTCTTGTTTTTAGACTTTGATGGGCTGGAGCTTCAACTTTCTGGATTCTCTTTCCGCGCAGTCGCCCGGCTTGACCGTGCACGCGGATTGAGGGTGCATACCGTGGTTCGAGTTAGCTGGGCTCCTACATTTTTGTGAGCTGTTCGGCTAATTCAGCTGTAGCTGCCTCAGACCAGTCTGCACTCGACAGTGCAGCATTGATGCTGACCTGCGTCGACGAGGCGCTACATGAACCATGCATTTTGTCGGCGCACTTGAGCCGGAACCAGAATCTTTCTTTGCGCCTACCCCCGACTTCCTCGGAGCTTTTGCGGCTCGGAGCAAGGAAGCTGCTTCTTCTGGGTTGCTGACGGTGTCCGGAGCCAGCCGCATCTCTGGCATCCTGGAAGAGGCTGAACTTCAAGAAACATGTTGGCCTCTCGACACAAGCCGTAGACTGCCTAGAGCTTCCGATGACATTGACCATCGTTGACCATGCCTAACTGTTGACCCCCGCACATCGCGGATGCAACCCCGATTGAGGCTCTGAGAAGCTCAGGAACAAGTTTCACAAACAACACTTCCGCGTGAGTACCTGTCTGGTCAGCGACCCCGAACTGCGGCCAGGGCGGAGGGCTTTGCTTAATTATAGAGCTTCCTGTGCTGCGCTTCCCTTCCGAACAACAACTTGGCCGCTTGCCTCGAAGGCTTCTGCTGAGCTAAGAATGTATGTGCGCTTTGGTCTTGCATGGGCCACGGACACATTCGGACCAGGGAGTCAGCGTCTGTTTGTTGCAGTGTGGACCACGTGGGGACATGCCAGGCAGAGCGCCAGTATACTTCGATTTTACGTCTTCCGGCTATGGGGCGATGAGCAGTCGGTGATCTGTTGCAAATGCCTGTTCCCAGCGTACAAGCGACTTCAGCTAACTCATGTGTTAATTCTTCTGCTTGGTCAACACCACAAACAACACGCACGATCCGTACAGCCGGGACACTAGCTATGAACGGCTCGCACATCAATGATGTGCTGTATCCTTGATTGCGTAGCTACTTCAGAAACACTCATCATCCTCGCCTGACCTGGCAGCTCCAAACACGATAGACTGAATGATCGGTTCCCAGCGTCCTGTCCAGGAGTCTCCTGGCCTGCTGGGCCTCCCCAGCTCGACTGCAACTGCCTTGTCGTCTGCTGGACGAAGCAAGAGTTTCGTGGCTTTGGCTCAGGGTTCAACTTACATAGGGTCAGCTTCAAGTGCTGAGGCCTCGCAAGCGCAGCGTCGTTTTGCTTGGGCGTAGCGGCAAGGTAGGAGTGGCACAGTCGGCGCAGCAGCTGCAGTAGCAACAGGCTGCTTCAGAAGCAAGAGCACAAGCTGGAGCGGAGCATCATCATGTTGATGTCGATAGCCAGAGTCATTTTTATCGTGCTTTGCTGGCCCTGACCTCGCACACAGCCAGGGAGCTGATGGCCGAATTGCAGGCCAGCACATCCGGCGAGCTCCTGGCCAGGTTTGTGGCAACAATCACCAGTGACACTGCTGGCTTTCTCGTGCTCAGCAACAACGACACAGTTTCATCTCCAAATATGCATGTATGCATCATGCATTTGTGTATATGTTATACACACATATGTATATATATATATATGTATATATAGCTACAATACGAACAAGCTTGACGAACTGCAACTTGACTTGGGCATTTCCATGATTCAACTCACCGATTCAGGCGATCCGTTGCCCTAAGCTTTTAATCCCCATGCGGCAAAAGAGCGAAACTCCGGCTTTCCGTCCAACACCCTACCCTCCCTGGACCTCCATCAGACCGGTTGAGCTAGAACACATGATTTTCGCTGTGTTCGTTCTACTTCTGCGGCCAGGGCAGGCCGACATGTTGTCGGCACCAACCCCGAGCATTCGGATCGTAAACTTCATCAGCATACTGCCACTCCGATCATAAGCCAACGCACGTCGACTAACCCAAACCCAAAACCGCTCGATGCCTCTTGCGCCAGGCAGCCTCGAGAATGCTGCTGGCCGTCTGCCACTGACTGCTATCCTCGGCCGGCTGTAGTTGACCCTCAATCGAGATATTTAGTCTTCGGCTCGGAGTGTTCTTCTCACGACTCCAACCTACTCTCCAAGGCAATTCTGCTGCACACTCTCTCATACTGAGCCCTGAAAACGTCAAGCCTAAGTAGCACATGCTTTGAGATCAGCATTTACCGAGCCCCAGCTCGACAGAAACTCCGAGATGCCAATAAACTAAACAAGCGCAGTAACATAGCACCAAGAACTGTTTGTCTAGGACACAGAGTGTGCAACCTGTGCAAATCCCGAGTTCAAGGGTTCAAGGTTGTATAGGGGGGCTTATAGTCTTATAGTGCCCATGGTTGTGCAAGCAAGGGTGCTTCTACTTTGTAAATCCACGCAGAAAAAACGCTTGGAAGCATACCTGGTACATGATATTGCTGCATGCAAGCTACCTAAAGCTGCAAGAGCGCAAGGCACTCATGAATCATTCGCGGAGTCCGAATAGCTCTAACTCTCATGAGATTGTCCATCCTTCCAAACCCAATCGGAAAAGAACAGACTCGGCCTCCCTGAATCGCGAACCACGACGGGCTTCAAACAAACAACAGGTCGAAGCTGCCTACACACCCAAAGCCCTAAAGACCGAAGCCTTGCGCAAACGAAATCATCTAGGTTTAAGCCTTTAGGCCATCATCTCAACCCATCAACAGCGGCCTCCAGTCGGGCCAGTGCCGCGTTGCGTGGAAAGGCGGAGGCCTCCTCAGTTGGATACAGGGGTAAGAACTCCAAAGTCTGGCTTCGGAGTGAGAAGGCAAGTGAATTTCGATGTGAGGAACGCGATGTCGGTTGGGAAGTGAAGGAATTCGGGATTAGGAGCTGCCACGACTCTAAGACCTTGAGCCACAACCATCACAGCAAAGCCTAAAACCACTCCTCCATTGCATAGCGTGGATCGAACCGAGGTAAGTAATACTGCACTTGCAGACTGGGATTCGGCAGGAAAACCATGTTTCCTCAATACCTAGACAGACCGCCAGAAGGCTATACGTGTGCTAAAGCCCCCCAACGAGTCCGAGGCACCAAGCCACGAGTAGTCATGCCGCCCAGCAGTGTGAGGGCCACAGGCCAGCCCTCGCTGTCCTTAGTGTGAGTCGAGTCTGTGACCAGCTGTCAGACCTGTAAGGATTGTCGTCGTCCTCCTCCGCCTCCTACTGATCTGCTGGTCTTGCTTGTGTGCAGTACTCCTCGGTACAACTTCAACTGGGGCCTCGCTGCCTTCGCCGAGCGACTCCCAGAGCAGCGATCGACGGGCTCATGCTGAATTCGTCTGGCTCCAGCCGGATCCTTAAAAATCCGCCAGAATCAGGCCGTTTCTGCTGCTGCGATGTTCGAAGGTTCGGCTTGGCTTGTTCGAGGCGTCTTAGCGCTATCACTGACGCTTGCGGAATCTAAGTTTAAGCTCCCCTGAATGGCAATGCAAGCGTCTGCACCATCCTCGAAAGGAAGCATATCGAGGTTTCCCAGCAGTGTCCTGAAGGGGATCGGCTTCCTACTGTGGCGTGCGGAGGACTGGGGAAATAGGCAAACGAAAACGCTCAGGCACTGAGGCCCAAGTCCTGCTCGCTCCGGACAACTTACGTTAATCTCGCAACCCAGTCGGGGCCCAGAGACGAAAAAGAGCATTCCAGCTCAAGTGCTTATCTTGTCCCACAGCTTTGCAGCAGAAAGTACGGCGATTGAATACGATGTGTGGCTCCATCGATTTGCACGTGGCTGGGAGCTTGTATTGAGCCATTGACCAAACAATAAAATTAAGCATGACGTCTCACTATCTTGACTGTAGCACATGTAGCACTCGTTCTACGGACCCGACTTCAAGATCCATGAGCAACTTCAAGTCGCAGGGATCTGGAGACCACCCTCTTAAGTTGACTCCGGAAGATTCAAAGAAACTAGCCCTTTCCATGATGGGTTGAAACCTAGCGTATATTGGGCTAGAGCCTCTCAGGTGTCCAAGTTGCTATTCTTGGCGTGCCATAACACCATCAGGTGCCCCGTTGTCACCGGATCTATGTTGAGACTGATGTTCGGATCTGGAAGTGCTAGCTGCTGATCAAGGCACTGAATGAGTAACCGTAAAGACAAGGACAACCCTTGTGGGATCTGCGCAACTTCTTTCTTATCTTGCCTTCCTGCCTTTTTCGTATAGCCCGGAGCTGGTAGGGAAATGCAAATGCTTACTGCCCAAGTTATAACGATTCCTCCCTCACTGCGGTGTGTTGGCTTTAACAATTCTAGATTTGGAGTCGGCGGTCCTCCCTGGCGGACAAGCGAATTCAAAGCAGCATTGAAGCTCACCGTGCCTGGCAACTTCCGACTCGCATTGGGGCTGATTTCTTTGAAGCCTTGACTCTCACGCCAAACCTGAGACCTGAACACCGAGTCCCGGGACGGAAAACATCGGTGGAGTCCCGAAAGGCGAGTGGGCATGGACACGCGACACTAGGAATCGAGACAATTCACCGCAGCACCACAAGCCCCTGCTTTGTCTGGCCTTGCACCAGCGAGTGCTGCTCCATGTCATGCAAAAGCGAGATGGCATGCTCCCACCTTCGCGGACTCAGGTGTCAGGCATTTTAACGGGTGTAGGGCTTAATAGGCGTTGAGAATGATGAGGTTTACACGGGCTAGGTGAAAGGCTGGGCGCTCTTGAGAACGTGAAATCGCAGTGCACCGTTGGCCTACAGCGGCTTGAGTCTTGAGTTTCTGGGAGTCGCCGCTGTCACAGCTGGGGTCAGTCTGACAGGCTTCCAACTCTTGGCAGCTACGCTAGCTTAATCTCCCACGAGTGCCAACAGCCTAATCTAGCATTTCGAACCCAACGGAGTCAATCGCAGACCCCTTAAAGTCTTTGGAGTGGCGACCCGAGTCTGCATGTTCGGAGGAAAACCAAAGATTCGAATCTGGGTTGCCAACGATGGGGGCTTGAAGGGATTGCAATGTTTGATGACTCTGATTAAGATCTTTCGTAAGGTTGTCAGTGCCGGAATGGAGCCTCCCGACATCCGCGCAAGCGCTGATGGCTGAGTTGAAACCTCGGCTTCGCGTTGAATGCGTTCAGCCCCGAAGCGGGCCACACCTCAATACAACCAAGCCTGCTTTAAACCCTGAATCCGGAAGCCTTTGCAAACGACGCCTTTTTTGTCAGGCCCAGGCTGTTCGGTGAAACGCGGCGTGGCTGTGTCGAGCCGCATCGGGCGAGGGTTGACCAGAAGGGGACCGCTGAACCGGCTCCTGGTTTGATGCTTCAGGAATCTAGTCGTAAATTCGATGCACCCCCTGTCCTAAACCCCACAAGAAAATGAGGATTAAACCAGAAGCGCTGTGCCCTGTCGCCTTGCCAAACTGGGGTCCATCGATGTCGCCACCGCAGCGAGGGTCACCCCACGTGAAGATACGGCCATCGGACCTCCTTAGCTGCAGAATGTCCGGACCCCTATGTGGCTTCGGGAGCTTCGGGCTTGGGTTCTCGCCTCTGACTTTGGATGAGGCGTCTTTTTTGGCGCAACAACGTGGGGCCTGTGCATTTGGAGTGAATGGCTTCGTGGTTGAAGGGGTGTGCTGGACGTTCCAACCTTGGCTTTTGATTTGGGCTTTCAGCTAAGGTCTCTGTGCAAAGGCAACATAACCCAAAGCCCGAAAACCTTACCCTAAACCCAAACCCCCAAAAGTCTAAGCCCGAAGCCTTCAACCCTCAATCCCAAGTAGGGTCAAGACCCCCTGTTCGATCAAACCTTAAAGAGCTGAACCCAACATCTTGCCGCCGAAAGGCAAGGCTGCGAAAGCACAAGCGCTGGACTTCCTCGCTTAACGCTTACATACATACATACATACATATGTATCTACATCTCTTTCTATATCTACAGCTATATTTAAGTACATCTATATCCATCTCATCTATATCTATCTTTATATCTATATCTCTGTTAAAATGTGTGTGTATATATATATATATATATATATATCTATACATAGACAGATTCAAAGTTTAGGGTCCAGGCTTCAGGATTACACGGTTTAGGATTATTTAGGGTCGAGTGATACAGGGCTCTGCATGCTTCTGAAAAGGGCTGAATATGGCTTCCCGCCTCATCTATCACACAAGGAAGCCCAAAGGCATATTACTCTTGAGTCAGTCTTTCGTATTTGTCGTTTGGAAGGGTTGCTGACGTTGAAGTTCCAGCTCAATCCAACCTGCGCGGTCGTTTTGAGCTCGAGCGCATGCATGTGGCTGGTGCTAGCAAGCTGACACCATGAGAGAACAAGGGAGCGAAACAGAAACAGCATGCAGTTGCTCTGGAGTTCATGGAAGTGTCACGAGGCCGGGGTCAGGCATGAAGACTTTGAACATGTATGCGCCTCCACCCTGAACCCGGAACCCTCTCGGATTATTCGTCGACTGTCTTTCGTCACTTCGGACTCGATTGAACGCCCAACACCCGCAAGTTGGTAAATGAAACGGCTTTGTATAAACAACAACTCTCGCTGAAACCTACAGCCTTCTTCCACCGAAACTTTCGAACTGAACGGCCGTACACTACCAACTACCCAAACGGCAAAGACTGAATTTATTTCTACAGGGCCTTGGAGGACTACAGGTTTTATATCCACGAAAGTTACCAGAAGGACTTCAAGACGGGCCAAGGCTCACGTCTTGTATGTCGAACAGCTCTTCTTGCAGGGCCGAGCTATCTCCGCCGAATGCGGGCTCCCCCCAGGAGTGGACCTTAGGGTTTAGGGGACCTTTGGGGTTGTAGAGGTTTGCAGGACCGGCCGGGGACCTTGCGTGCAAGAGATGGTGAACATAAAACCCCGAAGCAAACATTCAAAAGCGAGACACCCCGGCTCGAAACTCGAATCTTCAATCGACACAGCCCCAAGCGCCAAACTTTCTTTTCGCCCAAAACTCTTAAATGCCTTTAGTGACTGCTGTATATACGTTCTGCTGGATATATCCCGGTCAGCAAGCGTCTATTGGGGTGGGCGGGTCAGTACCGAGTAGCTGTGCCATCAGCGCATAACGCAGCAAAGGCATAGGCACCGGCGCAGATGTCCTGAACGTCCTTCAGCATCGACTGTGCTTGGCTGCTGTCTCCTCGGCATGCATGTAGGTAGGTAGGAAGGAGCAGAATTACATTGTTCCACGAGCGACAAGTTCCGGACGCTGAAGGCTACACCTAAACTAGGTCAGGTGTGCTTTGCTGCAAGGCTTGCAGGTTTCGTGGCTGATACAGCCATGTTTCCGCCGCAACGAGGGTCGCCCCACGTCACGACGGAGCCATCGAGGCGGCAGGCGGCGAATGCATGCACGGCCACGTGGATCTGCTGTATCTCCCGAAGCTGATGCTGCACAGCTGCACTAGTGCCACCAGACTCTGCTTCACCCCAAGTCACCACCTGCAGGTAGCAGTCATCTGTAACCATACTTCCTAGGTGCTAGAACTCTATGCCTCTATCTCGGATCATGTATTCTTCGGTTAGGATCCAAAACTAAGAAACCAAGGCAACCCAAATGCAGAACATCTTGAGGTCTAGGTAGATGATTGATCGTTTTCCTTTTTGTGGGCTTGCACATGCAAGCATCTCCCTCAGTTTGTATGATAAGCCAGTTCCAGGCACCGAACCATCCCAGCGAAGTGCAGCGAATGCTGCAGCGCTAGCATACAGCTGCCGGACGTCTTGAAGATGCCCAGCTACAGCACTGTAGTCACCTGGCCGCTCTTCCAGTGCCTAGTTTGGACAATGATCATGCGCCTCTTCGGGTGTCAAAAGGCTGTACTTGGACTATGACTATTTCTACTCATGTCGAGTGTGGCGCTTCCCACCACCAGAGACAACCCAAAGTAGTCGGTGACACAATTCACAAGGACGCGAGATATGAAAAGATAATCCGCTATTCGCAATGACGATTCCGCCTCCGTAGAGATTGTGGCCCCAAGCCAGGACAACCCCATCTTTGCGGACAGCAGCAAATGCCCGCGCCGTAGCGCGGATTTCGGAGACATCGGTTAGAAGGTGCTGAACTGTGCGGCTGTCGCCACCGTACTCCGGCTCCCCCCAGGTCACCACGGAGCCGTCACGCCGCAGTGCAGCGAAGGCAAAAACTGTTGCATGAATGCGTATTACATTCCGCAAGTCTGCCTGCACAGCATCGCTGTCGCCACCGCTTGCTATTGCACCCCAGGTAATTACTCGTCCATTTGCGAGTAACGCAGCGAAAGCATGTGCAGTGTTTCGCACATCAACAACATCTGAGAGCCGATGTTGCACGGCACTGCAATCTCCACCGTAGCGATGTTCGCCCCAGGCGACTGCAGCGCCGTCCATTCGAACAGCCGCAAACGCATATGCTGCTGCATGGATGCTTTTGACCCTACGCAGCTGCTTCTGCACAGGCCCGCTGTCTCCACCATATGTGGGATCGCCCCACGTCACCACAGCCCCATCTGAGCGAAGAGCTGCAAACGCTCGCGATGCCGCGCTGATGCTTTGCACTCCGACCAACCTATCCTGAACCTAGGTTCTGCGGGAGCCCCGAAAACGCAAGAGACTCCCCTCTCCTACTCTTCACAGTGTTTAAAGAGTCTTGCACGGAAGCACAATGGAAAACGAAAGAAACTGAGGGGGAACCGAGACACCTGACTGCTATCACCGCCGCATCCAGGGTCTCCCCATGTGATCACCCTGCCATCTGGCCGAAGCGCAGCAAAGGCCTGGAATTCTGACCCTAAAGTTTTCAAACCCAAAACTCCCGAAACCAAACATGCCAAATCTTTGCAAACCCCACAATCCTAAACCCGCAACGCCAACCCTAAGCTCCTTAGACGTCATACCGCAAAACTTCCACAAAAGCCTAAACCGCCAAAGCCCTCATGCTCTTGCTCCCACACCGGCCTCCAGCTCCCACAAGAGATCCAGAGGCCAAGCATCCCCGCTGCGCTGCAGGCAGCCGTACCTAAGTAAAGCAAGAGTAGTGGCACTTAGACAAAAGTCTAGCAGGCCCCGCCCTGTGCCTCAAATACACCCCTTTTAAACCCCAAAACACCTGTAGCTCTCTGAAGCTCCAAAGTTCTTCTAGTCTTCCGAGCTGCGCCGAGATCAGCTCCGTCCTTCGCACGGTGCCACTGACACGACCGCCCTCACGTAGCCCGGCTTCCAGGAGGGTACCGAAGCCCAGAAGTTCGCGGCCCTCCTCCATGGGGATTGGTTCTATTAGGGTTCATAAGGGTCTGACGTAGGCTTCATAGAGCCCGTGGTAGGGTTCCAGCAGGGTCGGGGGCTCTTAGCCTTTCTAGTTTAAAGCTCCGGGCTTACATGGGAACTTCAATCTGAACTTCACGTTGTCAGGCCTCTGTGAGCAGCACGCCAAGATCCAGTCCCAGCTGCCTCTCAGCATTTTTCCGAAGCTCATTCACCGTGTCCTTAGTTTCCAGAATGCCGGAGGGCAGTAATGCAAGGGACCGAACAATTGGTAATTGGAACAGGGTTTGGAGTTAGATTGACGTACTGTATAATCATACAGTATACAGGCACTAAATACTATCATGTTGCTCATTATTCCGACCACTGCATTGCCTTGCCCTGCGAAGGCACAAAGCCGCCGCATAGCTCCCTGGGGCCATGAGCATGAACCGGAGGCTAAAACCGCGTAGCTACTGCCTCCCCACTACATAATATGTATTTCAAATTCCTTCTGTCATTCTTCGTACTCTCCACTATGTCTTGTTACGGCAAAATTTGCCAGAAGCGAGGTTGTTGTTCAATGCGCCCCTTGGCTGCACGATCTGTGGCCATGAAGCTGAAAAGCCCCCAATCGCTGAAGCTCCCTTCCGAACTTCCCCGCACTCTCAAGTTTAACAGCGTGAGTTGTTTATGCGAGATCTCACTTCCTACCCTCAAAAGCACATCCTGTACTCTAAACATGATCTTCCTGAAGACACTGAGCGGAAGCAAGTGACAGCTTGTAGTGTTGATGTATTTAGAGCATGATAACCACACCACGCATCCTTCGACACATCATGCTATTAGTACCAAGCACAGCCGAACAGTAAATCCTGAAACCCATAAGTGCCAGGTTTCGTCTAAGCGGGCCCGGACCAGAGCCCGACGGCCGCTGAGGAGGGAGATCTCAATGGTCACAGCCATAGCGGACGGTGAATCGCACAGTCTAGAGCTTCTCGGCTCGATAACTTGACTTGACGTTTGAGGTATGAGGCTCAGGTCAGGGTTTCAAGCTTTGCTCAAAAGTCTCCGAGGTTTGAGGTTTGGGCGTGGCAGTTTGTAGATCTTCTGGTCGCCAGGAATTGATGTTTGGGCTTGGGGTCGACTTCTCCGGAACTCTTGGGCTTTGGGCTGCGGCTTCTCTACGGTCTAGAAAGCACCGGTTTAGGTTTCAAGAGTCAGCCAAGGCTGCCCGGCGTTTGACCGTCAGAACACGAATGTGAGCATGCAAATGTCACCTGATGGCACTACTCATATCGGAATCCCTCCCGTGACATCGCACTTCTGCATGGTTCCTGAAATATTGCTTTGGTCTGTCGCGACTTGGGTATGGGTTGATACTTCTGAAAGTAAAAATCCCGACCCCGGCGAGGTAATTCACACATGCGACGCCGGCAGATCGAACGTACTCATCGAACATTCAGCCAGAATCAGTCTTGGCCTGCTAATGACAGTCTGGCAGGCAACAAAGATTGCACTCACACGCACACTCAGTAAACAGACCTCTGGGAATTTAAGGCGAGGGGTTCAAGAGTGCGAAGCTTAGGTTGAAGAATGTGCAGATCGGGAGCCGAATTACAGAGAAGGCGTCTGTGGTTCAGAGATCATTGCCTGCTCAAGAAGAACATCTTACTGCCCTGTGCTGAGAGTTCATTCTTGTCGCTGCGGTGACTGCAAGCATCTCGCAGTAAACCGCAGGACTACGTTCAAACCCATGACCTCAAGTGGCAAACGTAAGGAAACATATCCGCGACCATGAATCTGTGCCAGCTGCGACAGTAGTCTCACCTCCACAGAGAACCTTGACTAAAGCCCTACAACATACAGTAACGATCTGTTATACTGTTATAAACCAACGCTGCGAACCTTCGCCCCGACGAATTGCATGTTAATTCAGGGGACCGTAGTCGGCCGCAGCCAGCGGTGCGAGGGCCAGCGCCTGAACACTGTTGGCTCGTTTAGGCCCTCAAGTGAGACACGACAAGCCTGCTGCAAGCCTCTGATTGAAAACTTGAGCAGCGCAGCCAGTCCGTGCGAACCGGCGAGTCCTCCCGCAGCCTAGACCCCTAACTCTTGACTCTCACCCGCAGCACAGCAAACCGACAGCTTGCATCCTCAACTCCGGAATATATTTATATTCTGCCAAACAGCAGAAGCTTTGCCGAAGATCCTTCGCGCCTGTTGCCAGGCTCGGCCACTCCGGCAGACTGACAGCAACGTGGTGACACCTGGATTTGGGCTGAAGGTGTAGGCTTGAACTGCCCGTGGCTTAGCTGCTTTATGGTGTCGTCGCATCAGCATTTACCAATGCTGAACTGAAAAGTCTTCGACCAAATCTTGGGGGTTGTGACTTCAACTTCAAGAGCTTCCGGGCTCGCTACTCAGGGATTGGCTCACAAAACTGCTCCGAGGGCTCAGGAATTCAAGGGATCATATTCCCCTCAAGCAAGCTGTTTCATCAGACAGGGGCTTGAGGGCCTTTTATACTCAGCACTATAAGTATAAACATGCATCCAAGGGTTCCAAGATTCTTGCATGCATCTCTCAACATCTCATATCTGAATCGCTTTGGCCACTACTTGGCGCTGAAAGGCCGGCAAGCGGCTCCCAGCCGAGGGCTCCAGGCTCAGGATTGACATTTCCGACAAGAGCGACAGTGCCTCCTGACGAGAGGATGAAAGTAAGCTCGATGCGAACTCGGTCTCTCGGTGTCAGGGGGTGTGTATGCAGCTGTGATCGCTCGGGGTGTGTCGGATCCCAGTGGACTCGGGGCTTCACTCGTGTCTGGGAGCTTCTGCTTTGTTGGCCTGAGTAGTGTCCACTAGCACTAAAACTGAAGGATTTTCGGTTGGTCTCTTGGCCTACGGGTTTCCGTGACATTAGGTCCAAGTATTGCAGCTTCAGTAAGGCGTATAGGTGTCAGTCTTGTCAGTTTCGAGAGACCCTAGTATGTTGTATGGATATCGACTTTTCCGCTTGCTACTTGGATTTCAGGCTCCATGATGATATCGGGAACCTGTCCATCAGGGATGGGGTTCAACATGCACCCACTCCTTTCTGCAGCTTATAAAACCTCGAATATTTTTATTTGTGGAGCGGGAACCCTGTCCCAAAAGAATGCCAAAAAACCTAATATTGTGATTTTGCAAGCTTGGGACAAAGAGTGTGAAGCCGTTGTAGCCCGAGCTCCCATCCGAGCTCCCCCGCATGACACCACTGCGCTTGTGAAGTCACTCTGGCTCTAAAGCCCCATTGCATCTGTGCACAACCCAGACCCTAGAGTCACTGCCCAAAGCGCGCCAAGGTTGCCAACCTCAAAGTCGTAACAAAAACACAACCGAACACATATACCCCCCAGGTCGGAGTCTCCTGCCAGTGTCCAACAGGGCGACAGCAGTCCATAGCCTTAGGTGCAGGTCAAACAGCAACACGTCTTGTGAGTACCACCTGCTACTCATATTGTGTGAAACGAAGACGATTGTCACTGCTACACTCCGGCTTCTACGTGGGAGTTTCAGACAAGAGTTAATCGGGTAAGGGAAATGTAATGTGAAACCTTTTGACAAAGAGCCATCTCTCAGGAGCTTTCCTCAGACTGCACGAGCAAAGCATTCATCGTATCTCGGGCTACATCGCCGCACACTCTGTCTGCCTCAAGCTTTCTGCGGAACTTACTGCTGTCCAGGCGACAGCATTGTAGGCAAGGACATCATGCTGCACAAGCCTGGAGCGTGTGCGTGCAGGGCATTGGAGAAGATCCGGACTAGTCATGTGCAGCTTACTTAACTTGTACCAGGACACCCTTGCACCCGAATTGAAAATCCAAAACTCCGCGGCAGTGCCGCCTCGATGGCATCTCTCGGAAAGCTGCAAGACCCGACTCCCAGTCCGAAGCACGCCTGCGCGGCTTTCGATTCGATTGGAGGCCTAGTCCAAAGCCCCTAACCCGGTGGTTCAGGAAGTAGAGTTTGGGGAGCGTGCGGTTTCACTTCGGGTGTAAGGCTCGTGGATGTTTAGGCCGTGTGGGTACCAGGTTCGGCGTGCAAGAGGCATTTGGGGTGTTCGTGGGGCTCAAATTTATCAAGACAGTTGCTCCCCACAGTGGGAGCCCCCTACTGCATCAAGAAGGACCATGTTGTAGCCACCCCACTTGGGGTGGAGCTTGGTTCAAAGCAGTAGTTTTTCAGGTTCCGCCTCTCAAACGATTCTGGGGAATTAGAGGCTCTGCGCTGAAGGCAGGCTAGGTGTGAAGCTAGCTTGTTGGGCTTGCCCCAGGCTCCGCACAGGACTGTTGAGTTAGTCGTCCCCAAAACCAACCTTTGATTTGCAGTTTGTCGATCTTGGGATTTTTCGGGTCCTGGGCTGAAGAGCAGTCTTTCGGTGGCCGTTGGCAGTTGGGGCCCATACTTCGGTCCAACAAAGCCTACACCGTCACTCGCGCCAATACCCAAGAAAGGTTCGAGAGCCTTGAGTTGAGGTGAGGCCCAAATAAATCAAGAATGCCGCACCCAGTTCGCAAGGCCAAGACACCCGCATGCATTTACCAAGGCGGTGCAGCCTCAAATCAGAGACCCCAAACACAAACAACTTGGGCATTGACACGTTTGAGTTTTGGATAGTCGGATTCCGGACGCTTGTTTGCGATCTGATTTTAACGCTAAGTTTCGAGGAAGTGCTTTTTTGATGGTGAGCATGTCCTGTGAGGATGTGATGTTAGCTAGCTTTGACTTCACGGCTGTTGGGACATGGGCCCAAAGTGTCGAATACCCACCATCACGATTTCTGAAGCCGAGGACGGGCCGAGGACGTTCGGCTACCCTGCTTGGACTAGCTTGGGACCAGAAGCAGCAACGTACGGCAAGGATTTGCTAGAGATTGCAAAACCTCGTAGCTTCCAAAGCTCAAGCTTGAAAAACTTTACATGTACCATGCGCTGTCTTGCATTGTTGTCGGAAGGTTTGGGTCCTTGCAAAAAAGACAAAGTTCGAGAAATTACTGCGTGCCCAAGTTTGGCTTCGACTCGAGTGCTCAAGACTGAACAGGAACGGTATGTTCTTTTGCCAAATTGGTGGATGACTCAAGTCTTTCGCCGTTTTTTGAAGCTCGACACGGAAACCGGGAGTGCCACGCTAAGCCCTGCACGAAAAAAAACAATCTCCAACTTCCATATTTCGACAGATTTTAGGCAGTCGGCTCTATCAGAAAACAGACTCCAGGCCGAAACTCCACAAACTCCGAAAAGCCGAGAACCCAAACTGCGTTTCTACGCTGGCTTCCTGAACACCGAAGAGGCTACAGCTTACAGAAGAAGTGCTACTGAAGGGCTCGCCGCCGTAGGACGAAGCATCCTGAGGAGAAGGTTCTTGGTGCAGGCAGGCTTGCTGAGATTAAACCCTCGGAAGCTGTTGAAGAGGAGCTGCGGCTTTTCGGTCTTGGAAGCTGTAAAAGCTCCGGGTTTCAGCCGAAGTGACATACGGTTTGAGGATGTCGCCTGTTCATTCCCTACGCTAGGCAAAGGTCCTGAATTTGTACTGCAATGCTCCGAGAAGGTTCAGCAAAGGGTTCGTTTAAGGATTCTTCGAGCCAATTCTAAACGAGATTCGATGGCCAAAGCCAGATTCGAAACCCTGATCAATAGTCCACTCAGGACAAACTCTTGATCGGTACTCGGAAAGAACCCTCGAGAATACCCTAAAGCCTTATGTCCGGTAGCCCAGGTCATGTTCATAGCTCATTGAAATCTCATTCAACAAAGAAGACACTTGCTTCTCTCTCTTCACCGCGGGTCGATGCTTCCATGGAAGCCATCAAGCAGAGAACCAGCTGCCACTTGCCAGCCTGGGGCTTAAGGCTGGCAATGCAGGACAAACTCTCGAGCAAAATCTTCAGGGTTTTGGACGCACGCCATCGTGTTCAGGGTTGGGCAGGCCTTCGCCACTGCCCCCAGCACTGCCCCCGCCGCTGCAGCATCTGTGCGCACCTCAGCACACAGCTCGGGGTTTAGCCTAAAGGGTTGAGGATCTGGGGCATCTAGGGTTTTGAGTTTAGGCTTCGAAGGGTTGGGTGATTTGGTGATGCTGATGATGCTGACGCTATTTCTGATGCCGATGTTGAGGCAAAATAGAAGAACTCAGTTGCGATGGCTGTTTTGACATCGCTGAAGTTTGGGCCCGGGCAGTCGCAGCCTGCATATCTGCGAGGAGCACCTGCGCAGCTGGCTCCAAGGGAGTTTGCCGTAGACTTTGTCTGTTCCAGGCAGGTAAGAACGATGCCCGCAGCTGGTTCTGTTCACGGCTTTTCGGGCTGTTGATTAGCAATTGAGCCTGGCTTCGTTTGGTTCCATGTTGGCTTAAGGATCCACTTCGTCCACATCTACTGGAAACAATGCACGCAACCTCAGTCGTTCCCACATGCGCATTCACGTTCGATGAATATAGACACAATAAGTATAGATAGATAGAAGGATGCATGGATGCATGGGTGAGTGGGTGGGGGAACGGTTGCATGGATGGGGAATCTCGAGATAAATCTACATACATACGTACACACACACACATATATATATGCATACATATATACACTCATACACATGTATATGTGTATACATGTACAGGTTGTTGTAGATGGATGTAGATATAGGTTTAGATGTAGAAGTAGAAATAGAGAAATAAACATAGAGATGATGCGACGATGAAAAGGAGCCGTATAGGGAGGGACTATCGTCGAAAAGCACCAGCGCCGAATCCCAGGCTGCCGAAGAGCCGCAAGCCTGAGCTCGAAGCTGCTTGGGTCTAGTGTAGGGCCTTCATAGTTGGAATACAAGTATATATTCTGGGCTCGTCCATAGTATCAATATAATAAGGAACGCTAAGGAATAATGTTGGGAATTGGCGCAATAGGGTTTGGGAGTTCAGCCGTCCAGGATGGCTCTGGGTTTACAGGGTTATGGTTTCGGGATCATGGAGTTCGGTCGATGGGTCGTGGGTCTACGCCTTAGAGCCTTTGGGTCGATGGTTACGGGCCTAAGGCTATGGCTGACGTTTTGCATGTTGGGTAGATCTGAACCTGCTCATGAAGTGTAACTAACCTTGACTACTCCTTTCAAGTCCTTCGAGAAGCACCGATGACGGCGCTGAAGGAGATGACATCCGGGATCAGTTCCTGTGAGCAAGTCAGAGAAAATTCCCGCAAACGAAGTTGCCTGAAGCAGTCTCTCTGCATCTTAGTTTTCATTCTTTCGGATGTCGTGTGGCGCTTGTCTTGGGGGCGAGAGACCCCCAGCTTTCAAGCTGAAGAGGCCTCGTAGGCCTTAGTAGGGTCTCAAATGGTCTCAACAGAAGAGGGGAGCTCCAGGATAGTACAACTTGCAACATACTTGCTCGCTGACAGGGTGCCCTCCCTGTCCGAATCCCTCAATGCCCTGATGGGTGAAAGTTGAACTGCCGAAACCCGACTCGAGGCTTGTGCCCAAACGTGCCCTGAGCTCTAAATCTAAAACAGAAACCTCAATCCGCCATCCTGAAAGCCCTAAATCCCAGCACACAAGCCCCGCCTCTGCTGCCATCTGCGCCAGGAGGCCGACTGCCACCTCGGCTCCCAAACAGTTACGAGACTTTCTGGGTTTAGGGATTGATCGGATTGAGGGTTTCGCGATCGGGGTTGAATTTAGGGATTTAAGGGTTCTAGCTTTTGGCTTGGTTCAGGCCACACAAAGCAACCTCAAGCAACAAGTTTTCAGGGTGAAGAAAATCAGAGTCCTACATCCTGTAAGCCCTGTACAACCGGAAACCGCTATGACCCTTACAAGCATGCTAGAAGCCCTAAGCTCTAGCTTCAGCCCTGGAAGCTTTGGACTCCCGGGAGCATCGCAGCAGCGAAGCCCCTTCGAGATTCCGCCAGACCTATGAACTTCAGCCTAAGCCTGAAGCCACCCCGTCACACCGCATGCCTTTGCCCGCCCCCACGCCTCCCAGCGCCCTGCACCCTCGCAGGCCGCTGCAGCAGTGCTGTAGGAAATCTGATTCGCAGCCTCGGGTACGTACACTGGAGCGCCCACTCGCGTGCTTGTAAAGCTCAGACGGAAGTGGCTTCAGTGTAGGTTTCGGACCTAAGGCAGGCCCAATCGTAATCCCCAAGCCCAGGAGAAGTCCTTGCGACGGTCCACGAAGCGAATCGAATCTAGACCTGCAAGACCAGATACCGCCGATGCTGATGGTGGTCTACGGTATTCTGTTCATTGCCGAAGCAGGGAAGTCCGGAATCGCTGCCAGGAGGCCACCTCGTCTTCCTCAGCTGAGCAACCCTAGGCCCTAGGCCTCTGTGCATGCATGCAGTGGTTCGGCTGGTCTTGATCAGTCTGCATGTCTACCATGCATGCAGGGACGCAGGCAGGCGCGTGTCAGCACGCGGGTATGTATGTATGTATGAATGTATGTAAGGGCTCGAATGGCCGCAACAGCGCGGAATATCGTTAGCCCCAGTGCCCATGGAGGGCACGCCTTGGTGCCGCGTTTGTGAGGCGGCATGCAGTTCTTTGTCAAGACCCTGACAGGAAAGACGAATACGTTGGACGTTGAGGCCAGTAGCACGTTCGACAACGTCAAGGCTACGTTCCAGGAGAAGGAAGGTGTCCCGCCCGACCAGCAGTACCTGATCCTTGCTGGCAAGCATTTGGAGTTAGAGGATGGCCGTACTCTCCCGGGTTACAACATCCAGAATGAATCGACCCTCCGCTTGGCGCTGCGTCTGCGAGGCGGCATGCAGATTTTTGTCGAGACCTTGACGGGTACGACGGTCACTTTGGACGTTGAGGCCAGTGGCACGTTCGACACTGTCAAGGCTACGTTCCAGGATATCCTTGCTGGCAAGCAGTCGGAGTTAGAGGATGGCCGTACTCTCCCGGGTTACTACATCCAGAATGAATCGACCCTTCACTTGGCGCCGCGTTTGCGAGGCGGCATGCAGATCCTTGTCAAAACCTTAACGGGTAAGACGATCACCTTGGATCTTGAGGCCAAGTTTAGACGAAGACTGCGGCAGTGTCGTAGCCATCGGCTCCATCGGTGCCTTCGTGTACCAGGCCGGGTCCTTGCTCTTGCAGCAGCTGTAGCTCGATGATCCGGTGGATGCCTGCAACCTAGCAGCTTTTGCTAAGATCTTACTTGCTTGATGCGTTATATGTGCTCGGCATGCGTGCTTGTATATACGCTGTCACTGTGCATGCATGTATGTCTTGAGCGGGCACGGTTCATTTGATAATCGTGTGGGGTGTAGCTTTGCTGTTTGCCTCCCCCCGCCCCCGGAGGAATAGGCGCAGAGCTTTGTTTGAGTTACCGGTAAATTCGTGCAGGGACTGTTTCCTTGAGGCCGATCCTGCACTTTGTAAGGGGTAGTGTTGCTCTGATGATTGCCTCCCTGGCCCCAGGAGGAACAACTCAGAGTTTTTGTACAGCTGCTGGTTTGCTTGTTAGGGTTTTGACTTTTGGGAGTTTAATTTTCCCGTTTTGTTCGGGTTTGGCGGGTCATATGTGAGACGACTTTTCGGTCCAAAGGGCTGGTCGGCTACATCTCACTCTACCCGCTCTGACATGCTTGAGTGCATACTGGCACGGTTTACATGCCTTAGCCAGATTTCTGCGCCAGGCTTTTGAATGTAATTAGGTGCATCCCAACGGCTGCGTTCGACCCGAACTCATTGCCCAGAAAGCGAAAGCGAATGAATGTATGTATATACACACATACATGCATGGCTCTGTATACGTGCATGTACATGTACATGTATACGTATCTGTATATTAAAGAATATGTATATATATATATATATATGTTGTGTGTGTACGTGTGTGCATATGTGCATATGTGTATGAATATGTATATTTGTATATGCGCATATGTATATCTATCTGTCTGGCTATCTGTAAATATGCGTATATGCATATATGTATGTACAGTTTTATATCTGTATAGATGTATATATGTATGTGTGTATACACAATGAACCTACAACTAAGTAGTGACTGTGTGCACAACTGCATGGGAACCTTCTTGTGGCCACGGTAGATGCTGTGGCTAAAAGGCAAAAGCCAAGCACATATCGTTCCAGAGTCAAGGCTCCAGTGCATCGGAAATACACTTGGCAAAGGAAGAGATGGAGAGGCTGGAGTCCCAGCATCTCCCGACTGCAGAACCACCTTTTCCCGACCACCTGGACTCTGAAGTGCAACAGGACCTCGGATGACCTCAGACCGAAATCTTCAAATCCTCTCAGAAAGTACATAAAGTCTACCGACCCCCATCCCCAAAATCCATGAAAGCCTCCATTGTAACATGCCCTAAATGCCTTAAATCCCAGAACCGAGAAACAGCTGCTCGCGGTTCGCTTGATCCTTTGTGAAAAATCAAGCTTGACATGCTCCGCTTGTTCAGAAGAGCCTCCGACATTCTCTGGAGCAAAGCGACTGCTTGCTCCCATTCGCCCGCCTTGGGGGATCAGTGTCCACTAGTTCCAGGTCTATAAAGCTTCAGTTCATGTTTGGGCCTTCAGGACAGGTGGGATCCGAAGCATGAGATGGTCCCCAGTAGGTCCCTGCACGGGTTTCTTTTGCGGTTGCCATGGCGAATGGGTGTTTCCCATGTCCTTGTCCCTTGGTTGACTCAAGTTCCTCATCTGTGAAGATGGATCCTGAAAATAGTACCGGTATGCCATGTGACAGATTGAACTACTCGAACTACTACTAGGGCGGCAATTTGTTCTCCAGGGTTCGGGGAACAAAAGAACATTGCCACTTTGTAAAATCCAATGCTCGTTTTTTAACAGCCAGCGTTTTTAATATGTTTACGAGCAAAATCCCTACTCCGGTCTACAGGATGACATGCTTAAACCCATTCGGTCCAGATGCCGTGCGGCAAGCTGCAATTGCGGACCCGTAACCTGAGCACAGCCGCTTACGGTGTTACCTATAATCCACCCAGTCCCTCGCCCCAAGCATTCCTGAACCAACTGATTCAGTGTGGCGACATCCAGGTTTAATCCTGATCCTGTCCAGATTGCATGCTGGTCCATCTTTGGCCCCCCGCTGTGTCCTGAACACTACGGAACCCCTACGAAAGCGAAAAGGCGTTTCTCCGACAGTACAAATGGTCGTTGTTGGATTGCCTCCTGGTACATGTTTGATAGCAGAATTTCTTGCAGCCCCCATCCTCCTTCTATCGAGAGCAAGACGGAGCATTCCCCTACGGCTAGAGATGCTCAGGAGGACTTGGCGGATTTTCAAGTTTGCCGATAGAATCTGGAGGCTTCAGGCTTCAGGGCTTGAACGTTTGGGATAAGCCTGCATGTGCTGAACCGAAACGAAACCATTAGGTCCATGCGCTCCATCCGCCGACCAAAATCCTAAAGTGTACTGTGCAAACCTCGAACCACATGGCTTAGTGCCAAACCCCAAGCACCAAACCCCCAACCCGGACGAGTCCCACCCCAAACCTTCAATGCATAAACCCGAATCCATAACCGGATGCCACCAAGCGGTTTAGGGGTCAAAGTTAAGGCGCGCTACGTAGAATCAGAAGGAGAGGCTCTATGTAGCGGAAGAGCTGATCTCATTCCGCTGCACTTCACTGCGCTTCATGTCTGCAAGAAGATCCAACACCTGCTTCAATCGAGGGTATGTTCAACTAATCTCTCTCTGTCTCTCTCTCTCGCTCTCTCCCTCTCTCTCTGTATATATTTATATATACAATATGATCACGTGAAGGATGCTTCACAAAGCTCCGAGGCTTCAATGGCAATGGGACAGTCGGACCAACAGTTTAGCGGTGTAGCTGGTAGCTATGCAAGGGACAGTGCCGGTGCTAGTACTAGGTGACTACTACTGATTGCCATACCCGACACTGTGAAGCTGCAAAATCTCGTAAACTCCAGTCCGCATGCCTCCTGGATATGACCTGCCTTGCGGCAGGCCGATGATGCCTGCAAGGAAGGGGCACGATGGAAACCTTTCGGCTTGGGGCTTTCGGTTTCAGGCTCAGGGCTTTGGGTTTTGCCCACGACATGACATCCTATCAAAGCTTACTGGTAGGCCTTGCCGTGTCCTGCGCTGTGTTTAGCTTGCTTCCAAACTGCAAAAAAACGGTTGGTTGAATGTCTGTGGGCCCAACCTGTGATCCAATTGCTGATCACCTCACCTTCACAACGACCGAAAATTAAGCGGTGAGCATGGCGACAACGTCAGAAATCGCACCAGCAAGGGTGGTCACTGTCAGTAGTCGGCTCGCGAGGCATACTGTTCCCAAAGCCCAAAACCAAAAGGCTGATTCTTGCCGCCACTGCAGCCATGCCCTCTCTGATTTGCTTTGACATCCTCTACCTTTTATATACATACGGTTCCAAGGCTCTTAAAACCGCCGCAGGTGCATCCTCTATGTGACTGCGTGAAGGCTCTGCACATCCAACAAACCGAACATGTTCGGAACTACCTGTCTACGTTCAATATTGTGACAAGGGTTGGCCCGACTCGACTGACGAGTATTCCACTTCTGCCGAGGAGCGATGCTGTAGCTGAATTCCTTGGTGGGTCGTGCTTCTCCATTACAAATTTTCAATCTTCTATCTCCAATATAGTCGTGTACAATATCTCGTAATCAAGACCTATATCCCTGAACACCCAAGCCATAACCATAAGCCAGCCCCGAACAAACAAGCGCTGCGCCCCAAACCCCGAGTTCAACACCCGTCGTCCCATGTCCTCTCCAAAGCTTGGAGAAACCCGAAAGCTGGTACAAGACTGCAGAGACTACGGAGGACCCCAATCGCCAGATCATGACAGCCAGTTCCCCGATCCCTAAACTCTGAAACAAGTGTGACATATAGACATATATGAGAGCATCATACACTCATATGTATACGGTTTCGACTAGCCAGGCATTTGCGGCAATACCTCGGGTTTGA